TGTTCGTTTCTGTACCCCCCCCCCCCTGTCCATGGCAAGTAAGTAATCTATGTGTATATCGGCTCCCTCCCAATGGTGGGCAAAACCAGATGCAGGCATAGACATTGACAAGGTGAGGGGATTAAAAATAAAAATAGTTTTGTTTTAGGATCTGACTGAAATATTTTGGCACTGTTCAACGAAGCGGTTTAAGGAATTAGACACGTGTACAAATTCTAAGATCATATTAATTACCATTGATTCCTCGTTTTCAATCCCTGGTTTTCAAAGCCCGTTAGATGTTAATGAATGGAGATTTTTAAATGTGCTTTCATTAAACAGCCAGGAAAAATAAACTATTTTTCATTTCCCAGGAATCACATAATCCGTCAAAATTCATTTAATTTAAAATGTATCTAATATATTACATGTATACAATCAGACAGACTGGCTATTCTAATCCGTTATGAAAAGCCATTTGTTTTTTCCTCTACAGGATGTTTCTGCGGAAGTTAATTTGTTTATCTTAGTGTTTAGAGGCAATGTCCTTTGACGCTTTCGTGAAATAAATGAACTCTGTGATGGACTACAATTGTATATTTTTACAGGAACAGTTACCCGAAGTAGACCACTGTTACATTATTTTCATTTTAGGTCTCTCTAATTAGTTGCATTGCAGAAGTCTAATATTATTCTCTCCTGTGCCGAAGGTACTTATACCCGTAACCGGGGGGGGGGGGGATGTTCAAGGAGTCCAACTCAACAGAATTCGAATTGAATACAAAATAAATTAAATATATAAATACATAATGTCTATCCAAGTCTCCTTGCATTTTCTGAACTTCAAATGCGCCTTTTGATGTGTGATAACAAAATACTAAATAAATACTTAATGTTACTCCAGCTTGTTTTTATAGTAATTTGGCAATTAAACATGCGTAAAGAGATAGCAATGTGTGTACTGTGTACAACCCGAATCCTCTCCCGATCAGGTCACGTTTTATATGTCTCTGATGTAAAAAAGCGAACGCATTCCGTTCGGTCTTTGCACGCGATTGCCGTTTATGTCACACATTTGGTACAAAATATGTGTATATATCACGCATTTGTTTCGAAAATATTCACACCTACCTATTTGATTGAAATCATTCAAATCAAAGTTTACATTCGAGAACAACAAGGCATTAACATGACAAAATGTCACCACCTAAAACAATTTGGTCAATTTAAAGCAAGTTGGAAAATACCTTTTGACCTTAAGAAGAACTTCTGAGAACATGTAGATGATTTTGAAAAAAAATAAGTCAATTTGAAGCAAGTTGAAAAAAGACCTTTTTTGACCTTGAGAAGGTCACTAAAGGTCAAATGTCAAATCTAAAGTCAGATTTGAATTTCTGAGAACATGTAGATGATTTTGAAAAAAAAATTAGTCAATTTGAAGCAAGTTGAAAAAAGACCTTTTTGACCTTTTTGACCTTGAGAAGGTCAAATGTCAAATCTAAAGTCATATTTAAATTTCTGAGAACATGTAGATGATTTTGAAAAAAACATTTAGTCAATTTGAAGCAAGATGAAAAAATACCTTTTTGACCTTTTTTGACATTGAGAAGGTCACTGAAGGTCAAATGTCAAATCTAAAGTCAGATTTGAATTTCTGAGAACATGTAGATGATTTTGAAAAAAAATTTTAGTCAATCTGAAGCAAGTTGAAAAAAGACCTTTTTGACCTTTTTTGACTTTGAGAAGGTCATTGAAGGTCAAATGTCAAATCTTAAGTCAAATCTAAAGTCAGATTTGAATTTCTGAGAACACGTAGATGATTTTGAAATTTTTTTTAGTCAATTTGAAGCAAGTTGAAAACAGACCTTTTTGACCTTTTTTGACCTTGAGAAGGTCATTGAAGGTCAAATGTCAAATCTAAAGTCAGATTTGAAGGTCAAATGTCAAATCTAAAGTCAGATTTGAAGGTCAAATGTCAAATCTAAAGTCAAATCTAAAGTCAGATTTGAATTTCTGAGAACATGTAGATGATTTTGAAAAAAAATGTAGTCAATGTGAAGCAAGTTGAAAAAATACCTTTTTGACCTTGAGAAGGTCATTGAAGGTCAAATGTCAAATCTAAAGTCAGATTTGAACTTCTGAGAACATGTAGATGATTTAGAAAAAAATTGAAGTCAGTCTAAACAGTCTAAACGGGCCTGCCTATAACCTATAATACTAATTTATTAAAACAAATATTAATTTATCCGTCTGTCTGATTAGATTTTGTTCCCTGACTCAAACCAGAGACATATAAAACATATATATTTTATATGTCTCTGCTCAAACAAAGTCAACCCCGATTTCAGTTCTTAATTCTTCACTTGAAACGATATAGCCAACATGATACAACATGAATTTGGATTAATTATACATATATAAAGCCTATTGTTATCAAAACCCATAAATCCTCACCATATAAATATAGTTTTATTGATGACCAAAAACAGATATCAGGGGCGTAGCCAGCTTTCAGTCAGGGGGAGGGGGTGTGATCGCCAAAAAGATTTCGGTTTTCAGTCAGGAGGGTACGATTTAGGCCTGAGCAGCATTTTAAAGCTCCTTTCTTCTTCTTTCTCAGGGTTTTATTTTTATTGTTAAGGGGGGGGGGGGTTCGATCGCACCCATCACAGCCCCCCCCCCCCTGGATACGCCCACGGATATTTTGGCAACTTCCACGTTTACCTCCCCCCCCCTAATCATTTTTGCGCCCCCTCTAAATATCAGACCAATCAGGCGATGAGGCATGGATCAGGATACCCTGACTCCAAGCTGTGCGACTTCTGGCAACCGCTACACCTATATTCCCGGGGGAAATGCTTTTTCCTTTGAAAAATTATCAAATATGGTCGTGTGTGGGCAAACACGGAGGAGAAGGAGAGGGGTGCGTGCATTGCGTGCGATCCCTCATCAGTTGTGTACCTTATTTTTGTATGAATTTCTCCCGAACAGTTATGCTAGAGGGGTTATAATATTTATTTCTGTTTTCAAATGAAATAATTTCACCCTTGCCCGATTGGCTATAATGCACGAATCAAATAGCATGGAGATCAGATAATTAGATTGATTCGTTTTTTCGCAATCAGATGAATTAACTTATTGTTTTCTCTGATTAAAAGGCGGTTTGAAGCTACTTTTATAGGATTTGTAAATTCGCAATCAGACTGGTTTATTTTAATATTTAGTCAGTGCAAGAGGAGGGGACTATAATGTAGAAAATCGTTTTGATTTCGACACTAACTGAAATAATTTATCACAATAAATTGTTAAATACGGAAACAGAGACCGGTTTAAAAATGAAAAGAGAGGCAAAAAACTCTATTCATACAATGTAATTAAAACCCGGGAACTAAAAGCAATTTTAGACTGTTAGATCTTCTGTAATCAAGGTGATGTTGGAACACTACCACCGTTAGAAAAACAAAGACTAAGACAAAGACTATATAGCGATTAATCCTTTTGTAATCATAAATGTTTAATGTAGATTCTTATTATTTCGTTGGACAATGTTCAGACTTCTGACCAAGATTTATTCATTTATGTTTGTATTTAAAAAAAAGTATTTCAATCAGACAGACGTTCTAATGAGTTAGAAAAATACATTTGTCCATCACCTCTCAAGAAGTTTTCAAAAGTAATCAAGTCGATTTGTTTATTTTAGTGTTTAGCATTGTTTTTCATAACTTGACGCTTCCATGAACAGAATGACTTTGAAATGAGTATTTATAAATTTAGCTTTTATACGACATGCTTATTGTATATTTCTATATGAACGTTGTAGTTATGTGATGTAACATCGCCCCCCCCCCAAATTACAGGTATACAACTTTTGGTCGGAATACTTTAACTTGCGATTAAAAGCAATTTTAGACTGTTAGATGATCTCTTATGTAATCTAGGTGATGTTGGTAGACTTCCGCAGTTAAGAAAACAAAGACTAAGACAAAGAGAACTACGTATATAGCAATTAATTCTTTTGTTATCACTAAATGTTAGATTCTTTATTGGACAATATTTTGACTTCTGTCTCCGATTGTTATGCAGATATGTGTATATAATCATGTGAACAACATATTACGTGGAAATTCCCATATTCATTCTCATAATGTCTTACAGCTATTTCGCAAATGACATGCATGTAAGCCTAAATAACACGTGGACGTAATATTGCAGAACTGAGCGAAAAGAAAGGTTGAACAAATTAGATTAAGATATTTTATTTTTTAAATGCACAAAGGGCAACAGTTGAAGAGCAAAAATTAAAGGCGTTGTGAAATAGATCGTGCTTTTGTATGATCCTCTTCTATAGTGCCCTACCCTTTGCATTCGTTCGACTTCACTTCTTAAAAGAGAGTTTCGTCTTCTCGTAGTATATAACTAGACTCTGCACGTAGCGTAATAGTGCCCCTATTAGCCATGTACAGGGGGCGTAGCAAACTTGGGGGGGGGGGGTGCGATTGCCAAAAAAACAATATCGGATTTCAGTCTGAGACAAATGGTCAAACATGAGTTTCAAAAAACTTCTAGAAATACCTTATGTAAATATTTACGTTAGCTTGTTTAATTAAGGTCTGACGTTATGAAAACAAAGTGCCATTAATTTCTGAACCGTATAATGCAGTATCATCTGTTTGGTCTCGGTATATTCCAGTTTAATTTGTATTATACAAAAAATGATATGTATAATTTCTATTATACCACTTTGAAACCTGTTATAATAGAAAATGATATGCGTATAATACTGTTTAATCTGATCCTGACTTAAATTATATCAGGTTAAACTGGAATATATTTTGGTTTAATCGGGTATCATTCTCTAATGATATTAGAGTCCGGATCAGATGTTATAATATTGAATGATACTTTCTGTGATATTGGATTAAACAACAAATTAAACATCAATATAAGATGTTATCACAAGTATTAATCATAGGATTTTACGTAGTGTAAACCAACAGATACAGAATAACTTTTAGAGAGACCTTATACAGAATACCTTATAGAGAGACCTTATACAGAATACCTTATAGAGAGACCTTATACAGAATACCTTATAGAGAGACATTATACAGAATACCTTATAGAGAGACCTTATACAGAATACCTTATAGAGAGACCTTATACAGAATACCTTATAGAGAGACCTTATACAGAATACCTTATAGAGAGACCTTATACAGAATACCTTATAGAGAGACATTATACAGAATACCTTATAGAGAGACATTATACAGAATACCTTATAGAGAGACCTTATACAGAATACCTTATAGAAACCTTATACATAATACCTTATAGAGAGACATTATACAGAATACCTTATAGAGAGACCTTATACAGAATACTTATAGAGAGACATTATACAGAATACTTTATAGAGGGACATTATACAGACTACCTTATAGAGAGACATTATACAGAATACCTTACAGAGAGACCTTATACAGAACACCTTATAGAGATACCTGATACAGAATACCTTATAGAGAGACATAATACAGAATACTTTATAGAGGGACATTATACAGAATACCTTATAGAGAGACCTTATACAGAATACCTTATTGAGACCTTATACATAATACCTTATAGAGAGACATTGTACAGAATACTTTATAGAGAGACATCATACAGAATACCTTATAGAGAGACCTTATACAGAATACCTTATAGAGAGACCTTATACAGAATACCTTATAGAGAGACCTTATGCAGAATACCTTATAGATAGACATTATACAGAATACTTTATGGAGAGACCTTATACAGAATTCTTTATAGAGAGACATTATACAGAATACCTTATAGAGAGACCTTATACAGAATACCTTATAGAGAGACATAATACAGAATACTTTATAGAGGGACATTATACAGAATACCTTATATAGAGATCTTATACAGAATACCTTATTGAGACCTTATACATAATACCTTATAGAGAAACATTATACAGAATACCTTATAGAGAGACCTTATACAGAATACTTATAGAGAGACATTATACAGAATACCTTATAGAGAGACATTATACAGAATACTTTATAGAGGGACATTATACAGAATACCTTATAGAGAGACCTTATACAGAATACCTTATAGAGAGACCTTATACAGAATACCTTATAGAGAGACCTTATACAGATACCTAAGTGAGAGGTTCCGCACAACGGGCTATAGCTGAAACGTATCCGCATCTCATTTTAATTGATCTACTCACTAAAAATCAATAGCTGTTAAAAATGGCATTTTTCATGTTATTGAAAATAGCTGAAACTTAATGAGGATGGACATCGCAAACTCACATATTTGTGAGATCTATGAAAAATTGTAAAGTTTTCCTTTCAATAGAAAAATATTTTTGGACCACTCTGTATATTACATTTAAATGAGGATAAAAATGTTTACGTTTCTTGACCCCTTGTTATGGCAGGCAAAATTCGGAAAGCTTGAAGTTTCCCAAGCTGCAAGTATTTAAAAGTTCAAGACATATGCAACTCCATAAAATGACGTATCTGCCTTTAATTTGGTTGAGTTAAGTTTTCTTCATCTAAACTTTCTTATTAAATTGCAGATTTTGATTTTGTCCACTTTGAGAGAATTAGTTTAAGAATATATTTACGCGTTTGGGAATTTGGTTTTAGATGCAGCCGTAATTAATACATTTTGTTCCTCGCTGACTTTGAGGTGATGTAAAAGTAACTAGTTAGGGAACAGTGCTTATTACAAAGTCGTCTAAATACACGAAAGACCTCGTTAAGCGAGATTATTAGACTCTAACAAAAAGTAGGAAAAGTATGACAGTTGACATTTAGCGAAATTGATTGATACGGGTCTCGGAAGAAGGATAGGATAATAATGTATAATGTGTGATTCAATTGATTCTTGAGATGGGAATGTATTTCAACTAAGAATACAACCTAGTTCACTGAGTTCAAATCTTAAATGATGGCAGCCCACGTGAAATGAGCCCTGCATTTTAAATGATCAATTTTGATCATTCCAAAACATTTTTCCACATTTCGCTTAATATCGATAGTTTAAAACTAGTTACAGCTGGCATATCAAGAGAGAAATTAGAACCTCCAGAGTCGGACTACTTATAATGCTAGATTATGAAAATGCATTTCTTATGAAATTCGTTTCAAGTAAAAACAAGCGTTACAATAACAACGTACCGTGTGCTTTCATAACATCTGTTATATTTAAAGTACAGGGGCTCAAATATTATTCTATTGAATATGTGCATGCCACTGTAACGTCTAAAATGTTAGATTAGATAAAGGAAAGATGAATAACAAAGTCATGGACCAAAAAGCAACTTAAAAAACTCTTGGTTTAGATGAAAGTTTGTCTGACATTACGAATATAATTATTTCAAATATATTTATGGACACAATATTTCATTTTGGAAGTCACGGTGGAGAAGTTCAAAGTCACACGTACAGGGTGTCAAGAAAAACTGTCAATGGAATAGTAAATTCTGTAACGTATTATAAACTTTACAAAGTGGTGATTATTCACCCACATGCCAACTAATAAAACCTACAATCTAGTTATGTAATAGCACCGTGGTCGAAGAACATTTAAATGGGAATAGTAAATAAACATATAAGTGCAATCTTGAATATTTCATTTAGATGCATATATTTCTGGTCTGTGTCATTTTGTGACGTGCAGTAAGCATAATCAAATGTTTTCAGAGTTAATGGGTCGACACCTATTCAAATAGTTGTTTACAATGTTGGTAAAATTGAGAATCGTATGTTAAGACTCAAGTTTTGTTGTAAACAAAGTATTTAATTTAAGATCTGAACGCATCTGATCAACATGGAAAAGAAGAATAACTTCACTGTGCAAACCATTGCAATAGTCTTTGCTCTGGTGATTGCTGTCTTGTCTTTTGTATGCTCAATTGTACTATACAACGAAACACAAAAACAAAATGGTAGGCCAGTCGAACTGGATGCTAAAATAGCCAAATTGAATAACGAACTGTACCAAGTGAAATATGATCTCGTTCAAGTAACCGGTGAGCTTATTCAGGTCAAACATGAACTTGGCAAAGTCAAAGATGAGTTACTTAAACAACAAAACGAATCTCGAAATGAAGTTTTTAACGTGAATGTCGAATGTCTGAAAGTAAAGAATGAACAAAAAGAGGCGCAGTTACGTATTGGTGAACTTGAAATACAAATACAGGTATGTTCTTTAAAAACAGCTCGAAATCCCCAATTCATGTCAGACATTGTACGATTTTTTACGAAAGGATTTCATACCTCAACATATACTTGAATATCAGGAAACTATCAACTATAATTGTCCAATCACAATAACAAGATAGAGCATTTCATTCAAAGGTCCGGTTTACAAAGATAACAAAGTACGACATGTCACACTTTCCAAATGAAACATCGATGGGACATTTAGTTTTTTTTATCAGAAAAAAGAATGATTCGTGATAATTTGATGCACTTCATTGTGTTTTCTGGACGTTTATCCTATCTTATTTTATCTTATCTTGTTTGACATTTTTAGTATTTGACGAGCGCCAAAGATCAGAATGATGAAAAAACGTATTTTAACACAACACTGAACAGAATAAAACGACAAACGTCAGCAGCAGTTGCAGGTCTGTAAAATATTCCCTTTAAACTTTTTAAAAATTCATGGAGATTTTTTTATTTGCATAGCACTCACTTTAAATATAGAACAATCATGATTATATCTAAGCTGAACAATCATTTTCATAAACATTTTGTATTCAAGGCTGCAATTGCAATGGGCGTGATGGTAGAGATGGATTAGTTGGACCACAAGGGCCACCCGGCCCAGAAGGCAAACCAGGTCCCCAAGGTACCCCGGGGGCACAAGGCCCACCAGGGGCACAAGGTACACCGGGGGCACAAGGCACACCGGGGGCACAAGGCACACCAGGGGCACAAGGCAAACCAGGTCCCCAAGGTACACCGGGGGCACAAGGCACACCAGGGGCACAAGGCACACCTGGAGTGCAGGGAGCAAATGGCAGAGATGGTAGGGATGTAAGTGCAGTTTTTATTATACACAATGCAATGAATTCCTGATGGTGGTGACATCACCAGTCATTAATAATCAAACCAGGCTTAAATCAACAAGTTTAATTCATATTGGGCAACGAAGCTTTTAAAGAAACGTTGAAGCATTAACTTAGTTTTTCCAGATTAATTTTGGTCGATACATTCATGAATACGATAGTTTTGAATAAATAGAGAATATATTTTGATTCAGGCGTGATATTATTTTTATACACGAATGGATTGGATAATCGAAAGGAAGGATCGTAGCGTAGGGAGCTGTTTCTTTTCTATACTTGGTTTTTGATAGATGAAATTATGGGATTTTTTAATTAAAGAATAATACTAAATGTTGTTTCATATTTAGGGTGTAATTGGACAGGGCTTATCTATTAGTGATATGAGTACCTTACTTGAACAGCTACATATTGCTGCACCATATAGTAACACATCCACTGGTGCTCATGGTCCAACAGGCCCAAGAGGTCTAGCAGGTGGCGCTGTTTATACAAGATGGGGGAGAACAACATGCCCCAGTGGTGTTGAGAAAGTGTATTCAGGTGTGTAAATCGAGTCTTTGAACCCCAAATGATACTAATTTAAATCTTAGTATATAGTTTTTGGTAGATCAATTGTTTATTTGATAGTTTAAAATAGGCATTTGTTTTTAAGAAAGGTATATATTAATAGTTGAAGACTGTGTTTATTTGTTGTAAACAAATACATATAGGGTCATGTACAAATTGACAATCAATAAATTGATACATTATTTGACACATCATTGTGTATGAATTTTTACCTTTACGGTCGACCCAGTAAGTTTATCAATGTAGATGTTTTACTTTAATTATGCTATTGACAAATTTAGATACACCTTAATGTTTTGTTGAAGGTATCATCGGAAATTCACATTATACTAGCACGGGATCAGGAGGTAACTATCTGTGTCTACCCAAGGAACCTGAGTGGGGATACACTATGGCTGGTACACAATCAGGCACTTATATCTATGGAGTAGAGTATGAGGTTGGCTCTGCAAACAATCCGTTTCTTACTGACAACTTCCCCGATCCTACACAACCGGCTCGTTGGCTTCATCAACACGATGCAGTATGTGCTGTTTGTAGAGTCCCCGAGAGGAGCAGCCATTTTATGCTACCTGCAATGAAATCATGCCCCGATTCTTGGATTAAGGAATACAATGGGTATTTAATGAGTATGCTTAACACTCACCATAAAACAGAGTTCATATGTGTAGACGAATCTCCCGAAGCTGATGAAGGAGGTCATGAAAACAAGAATGGGGGTCTTCTGTATGTGGTAGAAGCCATTTGTGGTGCTCTCCCTTGTCCAAAATATATCAATGGATATGAACTCACGTGTGCTGTATGCACGAAGTAAATTCGACTGATATCTGATATGAACTCACTAATTTGTATTGCACATGAACTGACAATGAAAATATTGTGTTATTAAATTACAGTTAAACCAACAGGTACAGAATACCTTATAGAGAGACCTTATACAGAATACCTTATTGAGATACCTTATACAGAATACCTTATAGATAGACCTTATACAGAATACCTTATAGAGAGACATCGTACAGAATACCCTATAGAGAGACCTTATGAAGCATACTTTATAGAGAGACCTTATACAGAATACCTTACAGAGAAACCTTATACAGAATACCTTATAGAGAGACCTTTTACAGAATACTTTATAGAGAGACATTATACAGAATACCTTATTGAGATACCTTATACAGAATGCTTTATAGAAAGACATTATACAGAATACCTTATAGAGAGACATTATACAGAATACCTTATAGAGAGACCTTATACAGAATACCTTATTGAGATACCTTATACAGAATACTTTATAGAGAGACATTATACAGAATACCTTATTGAGATACCTTATATAGAATACTTTATAAAGAGACATTATACAGAATACCTTATAGAGAGACATTATACAGAATACCTTATTGAGATACCTTATACAGAATACTTTATAGAGAGACATTATACAGAATACCTTATAGAGAGACATTATACAGAATACCTTATAGACAGACCTTATACAGAATACCTTATTGAGATACCTTATACAGACTACCTTATAGAGAGACATTATACAGAATACTTTATAGAGAGACATTATACAGAATACCTTATAGAGAGACATTATACAAAACTTTATAGAGAGACATTATACAGGATACCTTATAGAGAATCCTTATACAGAATACCTTATAGAGAGACATTATACAGAATACCTTATAGAGAGACCTTTACAGTATACTTTATAGAGAGACATTATACAGAATACCTTATAGAGAGACATTATACAGAATACTTTATAGAGAGACATTATACAGAATACCTTATAGAGAATCCTTATACAGAATACCTTATAGAGAGACATTATACAGAATACCTTCTAGAGAGACCTTTTACAGTATACTTTATAGAGAGACATTATACAGAATACCTTATAGAGAGACATTATACAGAATACTTTATAGAGAGACATTATACAGAATGCCTTATAGAGAAACCTTATACAGAGACATTATACAGAATACCTTATAGAGAGATCTAATTTTAATTGATCTACTCACTAAAAACCAATAGCTGTTAAAATGGCATTTTTCATGTTATTGAAAATAGCTTAAACTAAATGAGGATGGTCATTGCAAACTCACATATTTGTGAGATCTATGAAAAATTGTAAAGTTTTCCTTCCAATGGAAAAATATTTTTGGACCACTCTGTATATTACATTTACATGAGGATAAAAATGTTTACGTTTCTTGACCCCTTATTATGGCAGGCCAAATTCTGAAAGCTTGAAGTTTCCCAAGATGCAAGTATTTAAAAATTCAAGACATATGCAACTCCATAAAATGACGTATCTGCTTTTAATTTGGTTGAGTTTAGTAAGACTTTGTTTTCTCCATTTAAACTTTCTTGTAAGTCAAATTGAAGACTTTGATTGAATCCACTTTGAGAGAATTAGTTTAAGAATATATTTACACGGTTGGAAATTTGGTTTTAAATGCAGCCGCAATTTATAGATTTGGTTCTTGCGGACTTTGAGGTGATGTAAAAGTAACTAGTTAAGGGACAGTGCTTTTTACAAAGTCGTCTAAATACACGAAAGACCTCGTTGAGCGAGATTATTAGACTCTAACAAAAAGTAGGAAAAGTATGACAGTTGACATTTAGCGAAATTGATTGATACGGGTCTCGGATGAAGGATAGGATAATAATGTATAATGTGTGATTCAATTGATTCTTGAGATGGAAATGTATTTCAACTAAGAATACAACCTAGTTCACTGAGTTTAAATCTTAAATGATGGCAGCCCACGTAAAATGAGCACTGCATTTTAAATGATCAATTTTGATCATTCCAAAACATTTTTACATGTTTCGCTTAATATTGATAGTATAAAAATAGTAAATACAGCTTGCATATCAAGAGAGAAATTGGAACCTCCAGAGTCAGACTACTTATAATGCTAGATAATCAAAGTGCATGTATTATGAAATTCGTTTCAAATAGAAACAAGTGTTGCAATAACTGAATAAATACGTCTCATGTGCTTTCATAACATCTGTTATATTTAAAGTGCATGGGCCCAGATATTATTCTACTGAATATGTGCATGCCACTGTAACGTCTAACATGTTAGATTAGATAAAGGAAAGATGAATAACAAAGTCATGGCCAAAAACACAACTTCAAAACCTCTTGGTTTAAATGAAGGTTTGTCTGACATTACGAATATAATTTTTTCAAATATGTTTATGGACACAATATTTCATTTTGGAAGTCACGGTGGAGACGTTCAAAGTCACACGTACAGGGTGTCAAGAGAAATTGTCAATGGAATAGTAAATTCTGTAACGTATTATAAACTTTACAAAGTGGTGATTATTCACCCACATGCCAACTAATAAAGCTACAATCTAGTTAAGTAATAGCACTGTGGTCGAAGAACATTTAAATGGCACTGAATAGTAAATAAACATATAAGTGCAATCTTGAATAGTTCATTTAGATGCATATATTTCCGGTCTTTGTCATTTTGTGACGTGCAGTAAGCATATTCCAAATGTTTTCAGAGTTAATGGGTCGACACCTATTCAAATAGTTGTTTACAATGTTGGTAAAATTGAGAATCGTATGTTATGACTCAAGTTTTGTTGTAAACAACGCATTTAATTTAAGATCTGAACGCAACTGATCAACATGGAAAAGAAGAATAACTTGTGTATGCACACCATTGCAATTGCCTTTGCTCTGGTGATTGCTGTCTTGTCTTTTGTATGCTCAATTGTACTATACAACGAAACACAAAAACAAAATGGTGGGCCAGTCGAACTGGATGCTAAAATAGTCAAATTGAATAACGAACTGTACCAAATGAAATACGATCTCGTTCAAGTAACCGGTGAGCTTATTCAGGTCAAACATGAACTTGGCAAAGTCAAAGATGAGTTGCTTCAACAACAAAACGAATCTCGAAATGAAGTTTTTAACGTGAATGTCGAATGTCTGAAAGTAAAGAATGAACAAAAAGAGGCGCAGTTACGTATTGGTGAACTTGAAACACGAATACAGGTATGTTCTTTAAAAACAGCTCGAAATCCCCAATTCATATCAGACATTGTTTGAATACACGTTTTCATACTTGAATGTGTAATATACAAAAATAGAAAACAAATAAAACTAGAGTATCCCATTCACTAACGAGATATATCAATGTAAGACGTATCCCTCTTTCCTTCCCATCTCTATCTCATCCAACCATTAACACGATAGAAACGATAGAAACCAAAAATCCACGGGGTATTTAGATACAGTTTAGATTATTGGAATATTTTGTAGTCCGAAATCCTCAATTCATGTCAGACATTGTACGATTTTTTACGAAAGGTTTTCATACCTCAACATATACTTGAATCTATACAAACATTTTTTATCAAGAAACCAACTATGAATGTAATTATCTAACCACAATAACAAACCAGAGCATTTCATTCACTCGCCCGGTTTACAAAGATAACAAAGTACGACATGTCACACTTTCCAAATGAAACATCGATGGGACATTTAGTTTTTTTATCCAAAAAAAGAATGATTCGTGATAATATGATGCACTTCATTGTGTTTTCTGGACGTTTATCCTATCTTATTTTATATTGTTTGACATTTTTTAGCATTTGATCAGCGCCAAAGATCAGAATGATGAAAAAACGTATTTTAACACAACATTGAATAGAATAAAACGACAAACGACAGCAGCAGTCGCAGGTCTGTAAAACATTCAATTTAAACTTTTAAAAAATCATGGAGATTAATTTTTTATTTGCATAGCATTTACTTAATAACAATCATAATCATATTAAAGCTGAACAATCATTTTCATTAACATTATGTATTCAAGGCTGCGATTGCAATGGGCGAGATGGTAGAGATGGATTAGTTGGACCACAAGGGCCACCCGGCCCAGAAGGCAAACCTGGTCCCCAAGGTATCCCGGGGGCACAAGGTACACCAGGGGCACAAGGCACACCAGGGGCACAAGGCACACCAGGGGCACAAGGCACACCTGGAGTGCAGGGAGCAAGTGGCAGAGATGGTAGGGATGTACGTGCACTTTTTATTCTACACAATGCAATGAATTCCTGATGGTGGTGACATCACCAGTCATTAATAATCAAACCAGGCTTAAATCAACAAGTTTAACTCATATTGGGCAACGAAGCTTCAAAAGAAACGTGAAAACATTATCTTAGTTTTTCCAGATTAATTTTGGTCGATGTGTTCATGAATACGACAATTTTGAATAAATAGAGAATATATTTTGATTCAGGCGTGATATTATTTTTACACACGAATGGATAGGGCAATTGAAAGGAGGGATCGTAGCGTAGGGAGCTGTTTTGTATGCTTCATTTTTTGATAGATGAAAATATTGGAATTTTTAATTAAAGAATAATACTAAATGTTAATAATAACAAGTTCATTTACTTCAGAGTAATATGTTTTATTTTCGACGTTTCACCAGTAATCCAACTAGCTTTTTCAAGATGAAAAAGAAAAAGCTTGAAAAATCTAGTTTGATTACTGGTGAAACGTCGAAAATAAAACATATTACTCTGAAGTAAATGAACTTGTTATTATTAATATATCACCAGAGTGATGAATCTACACAGAAATACTAAATGTTGTTTCATATTTAGGTTGTAATTGGACAGGGCTTATCCATTAGTGATATGAGTAACTTACTTGAACAGCTACATATTGCTGCACCATACAGTAACAAATCCACTGATGCGCAGGGTCCCCCTGGTCCACGAGGCCCAAGAGGTTTAGCAGGTGGCGCTGTTTATACAAGATGGGGGAGAACCACATGCCCAAGTGGTGTTGAGAAAGTGTATTCAGGTGTGTAAATCGAGTCTTTGAACCCCGAATGATACTAATTTAAATTATAGTATATAGTTTTTGGTAGATCAATTATTTATTTGATAGTTTGAAATAGGCATTTAAGTTTTTTTTAAGAAAGGTATGTATCAATAGTTGAAGACTGTGTTTATTTGTTGTACACAAATAGTCACATACATATAGGGCCATGTACAAATTGACAATAGGCATTGAAATTGAAATTCACAATAAATTGATACATTATTTAACAGATAATTGTGTATGAATTTCCACCTTTATTCAGCCTGTCGGTAACACCCCAGTCACATTTGTCACACGGCGGCCGCAGGTCGACCGCAGATCAATTAAATCGGTGAATTTCTGCGGCGAGCGTAGAAAAACTACGCTCGCCTTGCGGCCTCCGTACGGCGTATGCAGATTTTTACAGGCCGCAGGGAAGGCGTAGAAATTATAACTCGGAGTTATTCATTTCTGAGGTCGCTGTAGAAATCAACTGGCTCAACAAGATTAAATCATTATTTGTCAATGTTTCACGATCACTTTTCATTTGATATTACATCCTAGCACTATGAATAACATTTATAAGTTGTCCCAATGTAAATAAAATGAAAAAAAGTATTATTTATCAACAGAAATTTAAAATTCACCGTGCGGCTGCCGTGGGAAATGTGACTGCAAAAGTATGAGAGCGCAGAAATTCCACGGCGAGCGTAGAAATGTTACTGGCCGCAGAAATGATAGACCGCAAGGTCGCCGTAGGAAATGTGACTGGGGTGTTACACCCCAGTCACATTTGTCGCACGGCGGCCGCAAGTCGACCGCAGAACAATTAAATCTGTGAATTTCTGCGGCGAGCGTAGAAAAACTACGCTCGCCTTGCGGCCTCCGTACGGCGTATGCAGATTTTTACAGGCCGCAGGGAAGGCGTAGAAATTATAACCCGGAGTTATAATATTTGTTCATTTCTGAGGTCCCCGTAGAAATCAACTGGCTCAACAAGATTGAATCATTATTTGTCAATGTTTCACGATCACTTTTCATTTGATATTACATCCTAGCACTTTGAATAACATTTATAAATTGCCCTGATGTAAATAAAATAAAAAAAACTATTATTTATCAATATAAATTTAAAATTCACCGTGCGGCTGCCGTGGGAAATGTGACTGCAAAAGTATGAGAGCGCAGAAATTCTGCGGCGAGCGTAGAAAAGCTACTGGCCGCAGAAATGATAGACCGCAAGGTCGCCGTAGGAAATGTGACTGGGGTGTTACGGTCGACCCAGTAACACCCCAGTCACATTTCCTACGGCGACCTTGCGGTCTATCATTTCTGCGGCCAGTAGCTTTTCTACGCTCGCCGCAGAATTTCTGCGCTCTCATACTTTTGCAGTCACATTTCCCACGGCAGCCGCACGGTGAATTTTAAATTTATATTGATAAATAATAGTTTTTTTCATTTTACTTACATCAGGAGAATTTATAAATGTTATTCAAAGTGCTAGGATGTGATATCAAATGAAAAGTGATCGTGAAACATTGACAAATAATGATTCAATCTTGTTGAGCCAGTTGATTTCTACGGGGACCTCAGAAATGAACAAATATTATAACTCCGAGTTATAATTTCTACGCCTTCCCTGCGGCCTGTAAAAATCTGCATACGCCGTACGGAGGCCGCAAGGCGAGCGTAGTTTTTCTACGCTCGCCGCAGAAATTCACCGATTTAATTGTTCTGCGGTCGACTTGCGGCCGCCGTGCGACAAATGTGACTGGGGTGTAAGTTTATCAGTGTAGATATTTACTTTAATTACGCTATTAACAAAGGATAGGTATCGATATGGTGAACTGAATTCAACAATGTTTTTCTCCTAAACCAATTATTGAAAACATTCTGTAAAGAAACACGATCCTTTATGTAATGTTGACTGATTTACAACAGTTTAATGCGAAAATTATTTATAAATACTTTATATAACTGTTTTTGTTAAGATTTTTTGTTTTTTAGTGCAATTGTTTATTGTTCCTTTCTACCAATTTTTGAGAATGAAATAAAATGTTTTTCCGAACCTTGTTGGAACAAAATAGTATATACAACATATTATTCTTAGACCTCTCAATATTATAGTTATACAAAGGAAATTTTGGTTGATTTAACAAAAAGTAAAAAAAAAAAGTATTTTATTTCATTAAAAGATACTAAAAATCAACCAAAATTTCCTTTGTACAATTATAATATTGAGAGACCTAAACACGTTGTGTTTATGTCGTTTTTTCCAATCAAGTTCGGAAAGATGTTTCATTTCATTCCGAACATATGATACCAAGAACAAAAGAAGTGTCTTCTAAAACAATGTAGAGAAAAGTATATATATTTTTTCAAAATTATATTGTTACCATTCAAAAGATGACCATTAAATTGACGATGTGTAAAATTTTTAGATTTTTTTATGACTGGTTTAAGAGAAACGTGTGTTCAAAAAGTTCACCATATCGATAACAATCCTTTAGATACAATTAGTGTTTTGTTGAAGGTATCATCGGAAAATCACATTATACTACCATGGGATCAGGAGGTAACTATCTGTGTCTACCCAAGGTACCTGAATGGGGATACACTATGGCTGGTACACAGTCAAATAGTTATATCTATGGAGTAGAGTATGAGCTTCGCTATGCAAACAATCCATTTCTTACTGACAACTTTCCCGACCCTACACAACCGGCTAGTTGGCTCCATGAACATGATGCAGTATGTGCTGTTTGTAGAGTCCCCGAGAGGAGCAGCCATTTTATGCTACCTGCAATGAAATCATGCCCTGATTCTTGGACTAAGGAATACAGTGGATACTTAATGAGTGCACATAACTCCCATCAAAAGTCTGAGTTTATTTGCGTTGATGAAGCTCCCGAAGCTGATGGAGGAGGTCATGAAAACAAGAATGGGGGTCTTCTGTATGTGGTAGAAGCCATTTGTGGTTCTCTTCCTTGTCCAAAATATATCAATGGATATGAACTCACGTGTGCTGTATGCACGAAGTAAATTCGACTGATATCTGATATGAACGTACTACTTTGTATTGCACATGAACTGACAATGAAAATATTGTGTTATTAAATTACAGTTAAACCAACAGATACAGCTTACCTTATAGAGAGACCTTATACCTGATATAGAGATTCCGCACAACGGGCCATAGCTTAAACGTATCCGCATCTCATTTTAATTGATCTACTCACTGAAAACCAATAGCTGTTAAAAATGGCATTTTCATGCTATTGAAAATAGCTGAAACTAAATGAAGATGGACAATGAGAATGGACATCGTATTGTATTGTATTGTATTGTATTGTATTGTATTGTATTGTATTGTATTGTATATTCTTTATTTCCTCCATTAAATGAAGATTACAATTTATCATTTTAACTTAACTCAAAATTAAGGAAAAATAAAATAATAATAATAAAATGTACATTATTTACAAATATTCCAGGTATTTACATATTTAAATGTAGTACAGCGTGGTTTAGAATATAATCTATTTTTACCGCAGATACTATTAAAAATTGTTGCCATATGCAATCATCACAATCAAATAACATATCTGTTCTGCTACCTAAAATAGTTTCAAGAAATATCTCATCATCAGTATTAAATAACGCCACAGAGTCATCAACTCCTAATGTATCAACAACAGCATTAAATAGATTATCTCTTTCTTGAAATAGTACTTGACACTGTAATAATATATGTTTTGTGATGTCATTCGTCACACTATTGCAAAGAGGACAGCATCTATCAGTTTCTGAGTACAGTATTAATAAGGATAAAAGCTGTCCCAATTTCCAAGTGTGAGATGGATAAATAATTCCCAATTTCCAATGTATTATTGGTTCGTACACTGTATGACTATTTCTAAAGCGATATAGAGAGGCATCCTGATTCAGCATGTGGTGCCATAATTGCTGTTGTTTTGAAAAGATTTGTGCGTTAACTATCATTTTCCATTTGGATTTATGCATTACAACAGTAGTTTTAATATAACGTTCAAACTCAGTATATAAAATAGGATAAGAATCTTTAAGTTGCAGAATATCAGCCAAAAAGCCCATTTGTTTGAGGTGTAAAAAGTTTCTAACCAGCAAGCTAGATATTCTAATTAGTAAAATCTGTTTTTGAACATATAGATTATCAGTTCTCAGTAATCTGCCAAGAAACAGGAATTTCATTTTATTGATGTAACTCTCAACGGACAATAGACCAAGCGTGCTCAAGACTATAGCACTAGGTGTTCTTATAGGGAAACCTTGGATTCTTTTGGCAACCTGTCTTTGAGCACGCTCGAGCTTTTCCATTTCATTTCGTTTAATATTGAACCAAAGTTCACACCCATAAAATGCAGACGGCATTATAATATTTTTCCATATTTTGGCACTAGTTAGAGGGTTGAGACCATTACGGTACATACCAATAAAACACAAAGAGTTAAAAGTACGTGTTGCTTTAAGACAAGCTTCCGTTATAGCTGCCTTAGAGCTTACATGAGTATTAGAGTCAATGATATTGCCCACGTATATTTGTTGGTGTCTAGTTGGAAGGGATTCACGTCCAAGGTGGCAACGTGTTTCATCATGTCGTTTTAAATGCAAATCATATATTAATATGGTACTTTTACATTTATCTAAGGGAAATCCTGCATGGTATACTAGACGCCAGCGACAACTGTAATTATATACGATATCTAATAATTTTTGTAGTTCATTAGGCGTAGTTCCTAACACGGTAGTATCATCCGCTACTAGGATACATGGTATTATTAAGTCATCGCTAAGTGCAACTCCAAGGCCAGAATCACATAATTCTTTTATAAGGTCATCAATATATACCATGAACCAGAGCGATGAGCAAATTCTACCTTGACCACAGCCCTGATTAATAGTAATTTCACGGGAGTATGACCCATCATATAGAATTCTAGCTTTCGTGTCGCTATACGATTTGACAAAGAGTCTCCAAGCTTTTGAGTTAATTCCAAGTTTATATACTTTTACAAAAAGTCCATTTCTGTACAATAAATCAAAAGCTTGGAGATTATCAAGCATGGCTGTGAAAATGGGAGAGTTTCTCTCTTGGAAATGAGCTACTATTTCTTTAAAAACGAATGTGGCCATTTGACTCCCGCCATTATGGGCAAATTGCAATTTGTGCGGAACATTTGCACATTTTAAGATATGCATATTCCTTTCCAAGAGAATAGTATCCCAAAGTTTGTTAATAACAGAGGTGAGTGTAAGTCCTCTATAGTTTGTCCTGATTAATTTATCTTTTTTCTTGCCCTTGTACAATGAAATAATGACGCCAATTTTTTGGTTTTCCGGGACATATTCTAGCCTAATCATTGCATTGAATAGGTCAGTGATCACCTTAACTTACATGCTACCACCGTTTTTAAGATGTTCATTAGTTACCATATCTAAACCAGGAGCTTTGTTATTAGGACTCTGTACAATAATATCATGTATTTCCTGAGTAACGAAAGGATTAATTAAAGTAGTATCATGGTTTGAAAATGATTCTTTGTAATTGCGTTGGAACTCAGTTTCAATATTTCGCATAAAGTCATTATCAAAATGTGGAAACTGTTTGGGAGTCCCTAATTGATTTAACCGTGTTTGGTCAACTCAGACAGCAAGACAGGGTAAATTATTTGTTATACGGTGATTGCTCATTACCATATCTGACAAATCAGAAAATTGTTGAAATGACTGCAGGTTTTCTGCAGTTAATTATTACTATTTTAAACGAGTAAGTTTTTATTTTTATATACTGTTCTGCATAACTGAGTTGATCCATAAATCTCATTGCAACTTCACTTTACATTATATAAATTCTTGACTACCAGGGCCAATAATGCATTGCTTCGGCCCTTGCTGTGTTTGTAATTTGTTTTGTTTAAATGATAATAAAAAAACTTTAAACCTAAAAGTCCCTAACATCTCAAAATGATCTGCCCATGCGTCCCTAATTAGACATGGATCTCTAATTATTGTTCCATCAACCAGTAATTCGTGCGAATTTGTTTTAAGTTTTCTGGATTTCCTAACCAGACGATAGAAATCATTTATGTTGAGCTCAGCAGCTTTGTCAAATTTAGAATCAAGATTACGTTCATAATTTATTTTAGCCTTCCGCAGTTCTGCACGAAAGAGACGTTTTGCATTTTTATATTGTGTTAGAGCTACATTGTTATGATTTCTAGGTCGTCCTGCGGAGATCCAAATGCGTCTAAACTGTCGCATTGATACATGAAGATTTTTAACTGCACCATATTTCCAAAAAGGATTCAAAAAGTGGTGAAATTGAGATTTAGGTATCGCAAGGTCTGCTGCATCATTTAAACAATCGACAATTTCATGTGTCAACTTTTCCAAATCAGAATGATTATGTGCATTCGAAACGTTAATTTCTTTTAGTTTACTCTTAACAATATTACGATATCTAGTGAGCTGGTCTTCGTTAGCATTATTCCATCTTAGAACACTTTTATAGCTAGTTTCGAAACACCTACTTTCTAATTCAAATTGCATACATATCGGATTATGATTGGATAAAATCAAGTCATGATCATTAAGGACTGCACATTGTTTCACAAAATCCAGTTTAGAAGCAGGTATTATGATAAAGTCAATGCATGATTGATGTTCAAAATCAGAGCTACAATACGTATACACAGGGCCTGTCGTCAGGTTTTGTGCATTAGCACATACCAGATTAGAATCAAAAATAAAATTCTCGATACATTTTCCTCTATCGTTAATAGTACCGATAGAGCGTGGCCCTATATTAGAGGATAGGTGGGCATTAAAGTCCCCTGCAATTATAACAGTACCCTTACTATTATACATATCAAAAATATCCATCAAATTTTGAACATACTCACGGTACTCAAAAATCGACGTATTACTACAGGGTAAATAAACCCCTATTATATACAATGGTGCAGTTTCTAGACCTATCTTTATTCCACAGATTCTGTCATTTTCAATGTCTAATTCCGAAACATTTTTAATTGAATTTCTGTATAATATCCCGACGCCACCTTGGCCGCGTCGTTTATCTACTATATCGATAGGAAGTGATTTATCACAGACAGCAACACTAGAGAAATGCGAATCAATGGAATTAAGATAATTAACATTGCAAGGATAAAGCCAATGCTCTTGTATAACACAAACATCAATGTCAGATAACTTCTGACATAAATATGGCGTACTGTACATGACGCCTTGTACATTCCATGACATTAAGTTAAGTTTAGTAGTCATAGAAAGAATGACAAATATATATACAATAACACTTGAACTAATCAAAGTCTTCATATACAGTTTTGTTCTTATTAATCCACTCTTTCGAAATTATACCTTTAGGCCAAAAGGCAGGATCATCAATTATATATTGAAAGTGTTTTGCTACAACATTTAGCCTCAAGGAATAAGCTGTGGTGATAGGAAAGTGATATTCCTTCAGGAGTCGAACAAAGGTAACAGTGACACCTTTGTTTCGTGCATAAAGTTTCAGTTTGTTGCTCAATTCTTCAAAAGGGAGTTGAGATCTAACACGTGATATGAATAGGCGTTCAATATTTTGTCATGTACGCCTGTGAATCCAATATCGTCCGGGTTGTTAAAGGTGGATACACTATCAGAGTTAGATGATCTCGAAGAAATAGGAACGGTAGGAATAGGTAGTGAAGCACTGGGGGCACTGTTACTGTTAACAGGTGTTGTAACATTAGCTGCAGCAATCTTGTTTGATTTAACAGTTGATTTGTTAATCGCTTGTGGAGATCTAGTACAGGTTGTTTTGGGCGGTGTAATTGCTGCTTTTAGACAGAAAGTATGGGCACAATCACTAGAATTAGTTGCTGATGTTAAGTGAGAAAAAGTAGTAACATCAGAGAGTACATTAGTTGCCATCGCAGCACTATTTGTCGTGACACTGTTGTCTTCAGCATCTTGATCAGCAGTTGTAGTTATGGTGGACTTGGCTATGTCGGTAGCATTATGTTCAGGTAGGTCAGTACTCTGGAGCGGTGAGGAGGAACAGTGTTGCATTATTGGTGATGGATCAGTGACGACAGGTGAATTCCTATTTGCAGTATCTGAGTGGTTGCTCCTTGGGGAGTTATCAGAAGATGTCATCACCAATTTACTAGTTTCATTAACTCGATTTAAGGTGATGTTCGTGTTGACACAATTTTTATGGACAGTAGCTAATTTGCCCTCAATTATGTTCAGTTTTGTTTTCAATTCATTTTCGCATAAAGACAATTTTGATTTCAAAAGAAGAATCTCATTGTTCTTATCTTTGATTGTAAAGTTTATTTGTTTTAAGTCATTTTTTGCTCTAAATTCCGAATCTCTCAATTGTTGTTCATTGCGTTTCAACGCTTCATTTTCATTTTGAATTTGTTTTATTTGAAGTTTCTGTTCATCTAGTGTTTGAGAGATGTTTGCACATGTCTCTTTAATAGATAATAGATGATTCATCATCGATTCTAACACAGGTGATGGGACTAATGTCGTATTCTCTGTTGGATCAACAGGTTTTGCCTGTTTAGTAGTAATTGAGCGGACTTTCCGTGGGTTACCATAGCTTTAATATCGCTGATATTTCCAGCTCCCTCGATGAAAAGAAATAAGTGATAAATATCAGTAGCGAGTTTTTCATTCGCACTGGAACTGGCTTTTTTCTTTCTACTTGGGAGACGGCGCACAAGAGCACCTTTAGGCATCACATCTTTCTTGTGGATTCTTGCGTAGTCGAATAATGCTTCGCGTGTAGCTACCAAGCCATCTGTATCTTGGTTATCACAAAGTTTTAGAACGAAGACAGGCTTAGTTTGGGAGCCACAGAGATCACGAATTTCCTGAATGAGATCTTTCTCAGTCTGTGTTGCACAGGGAGATGGAGGTTCAGACTGTGAATAGAAAGTGCTTTCTGTATCATCTTCAGTAATAGCACTGCTATCAGAAAAATCGAATTCAACGTCATTTGGTACGTTTAAGGAAACTGGCGGTTCAGGGGAGGCCATGATTCATATCAGCAAACTATACCAGAGCGCAGTTGTCCAGAAGTAGGCAAGCGTAGCTTGAATCGAACACAATAGACCAGTGTGGCATAAAGCCAACAGTAGAGGCCCGGAACATGTATATTCAAAATATTTTGTAGCGTAACGTGTAGAAAAGTTCAAAATCAGGTTTTATCCATGGGTAGGGTCCGCAAAATGGACGACTTCAGAAAGACGAGAATGGAAAAAACAGAAATGTTTATGTCAATAACGTAGACACACTTACGATATAACGTCCGAAATATGTATCACTATAATCCTATGTAGTTTATATATCCAAATTTATCCATATGTAGTATATCCTATAAGTATGCTAGTCGTAAAGACGAATAAGTTGGAGACGGTATAAAACACGTCTTTTATGTTTCCAAAATAAAATATGAAAATTTTAATAAGAATGGTTGTTCTATTGCAAATATAGAGTAAAAAACGACTGCATTATACAACCTGTCCGGGGTACTAATGTCTGATTCCATTGATTTTTGAGATGGGAATGTATTTCAACTAAGAATACAACCTAGTTTACTGAGTTCAAATCTTAAATGATGGCAGCCCACGTGAAATGAGCCCTGCATTTTAAATGATCAATTTTGATCATTCCAAAACATTTTTCCATATTTCGCTTAATATTGATAGTATAAAAATGGCTAAAGCTTGCATATCAAGAGAGAAATTGGAACCTCCAGAGTCAGACTACTTATAATGCTAGATAATCAAATTGCATTTCTTATGAAATTCGTTTCAAGTAAAAACAAGTACTGTGTTGCAAAAAATACGTCTCATGTGCTTTCATAACATCAATTATATTTAAAGTACATGGGCCCAGATATTATTCTACTGAATATGTGCATGCCACGGTAACGTCTAAAATGTAAGATTAGATAAAGGGAAGATGAATTGCAAAGTCATGGCCAAAAAGCAACTTCAAAAACTCTTGGTAGGAGTTTTTTTTATACAAAGCCAACATTATCTTAGTTTTTCCAGATTAATTTTGGTCGATGCATTCATGAATACGATAGTTTTGAATAAATAGAGAATATATTTTGATTCAGGCGTGATATTATTTTTACACACGAATGGATAGGACATTGGAAAGGAGGGATCGTAGCGTAGGGAGCTTTTTCTTTTTTTATACCTGGTTAGCTCACATGGTGAGCTTTTGCAATCAATCACTTGTCCATCTGTCTGTCTGTGCGTGCGTGCGTCCGTTTTAAAACCTCTGTCGATAGGATTCCTGTTTTAAGTTATTTCTGCTCAACATCTATACAGAAAACTCCCCTATGACTCCTTGTTCAAAAGCTCGCCTATTTTCAAAATGGTTGCCAATTTTGTCTCGTGAAATTTACTTTTGACCCATTTCCTAGCTTTACAAATAATTTCAAGTGTCCTACATTGTAAAAACCATGTCAATGTAAAGAGTAGATATATGAAATAATTTTGTTACAAAAAATCAGCAAAAAATCATATCCATTTTTTTATTTTCAGCCATTTTAGTTAACATTGATTTGTCCATCTGACTCGCGAAATCCACTTTTCCGTCAACAACAGTGGTACGTTTTAAAACCTCTGTCGATAGGATTCCTGATGAAAATATGGGAATTTTTAATAAAAGAATAAAAACTAAATGTTGTTTCATATTTAGGGTGTCATTGGACAGGGGTTATCCATTAGCGATATGAGTAACTTACTTGAACAGCTACATATTGCTGCACCATACAGTAACAAATCCACTGGTGCGCAGGGTCCCCCTGGGCCCCGAGGCCCAAGAGGTTTAGCAGGTGGCGCTGTTTATACAAGATGGGGGAGAACCACATGCCCAAGTGGTGTTGAGAAAGTGTATTCAGGTGTGTAAATCGAGTCTTTGAACCCCGAATGATACTAATTTGAATTATATTATATAGTTTTTGGTAGATCAATTATTTATTTGATAGTTTAAAATAGGCATTTAAGTTTTTTTAAAGAAAGGTATGTATCAATAGTTGAAGACTGTGTTTATTTGTTGTAAACAAATAGTCACATACATATAGGGCCATGTACAAATTGACAATAGGCATTGAAATTGAAATTCACAATAAATTGATACATTATTTAACAGATAATTGTGTATGAATTTCCACCTTTATTCAGCCTGTCGGTAACACCCCAGTCACATTTGTCACACGGCGGCCGCAGGTCGACCGCAGATCAATTAAATCGGTGAATTTCTGCGGCGAGCGTAGAAAAACTACGCTCGCCTTGCGGCCTCCGTACGGCGTATGCAGATTTTTACAGGCCGCAGGGAAGGCGTAGAAATTATAACTCGGAGTTATAATTTTTGTTCATTTCTGAGGTCGCCGTAGAAATCAACTGGCTCAACAAGATTAAATCATTATTTGTCAATGTTTCACGATCACCTTTCATTTGATATTACATCCTAGCACTATGAATAACATTTATAAGCTGTTCCAATGTAAATAAAATGAAAAAAAAGTATTATTTATCAACAGAAATTTAAAATTCACCGTGCGGCTGCCGTGGGAAATGTGACTGCAAAAGTATGAGAGCGCAGAAATTCCACGGCGAGCGTAGAAATGTTACTGGCCGCAGAAATGATAGACCGCAAGGTTGCCGTAGGAAATGTGACTGGGGTGTTACGGTCGACCCAGTAAGTTTATCAGTGTAGATATTTACTTTAATTACGCTATTAACAAAGGATAGGTATCGATATGGTGAACTGAATTCAACAATGTTTTTCTCCTAAACCAATTATTGAAAACATTGTGTAAAGAAACACGATCCTTTATGTAATGTTGACTGATTTACAACAATTTAATGCGAAAATTATTTATAAATACTTTATATAACTGTTTTTGTTAAGATTTTTTTGTTTTTTAGTGCAATTGTTTATTGTTCCTTTCTACCAATTTTTGAGAATGAAATAAAATGTTTTTTCCGAACCTTGTTGGAACAAAATAGTATATACAACATATTCTTAGACCTCTCAATATTATAGTTATACAAAGGAAATTTTGGTTGATTTAACAAAAAGTAAAAAAAGTATTTTATTTTATTAAAAGATACTAAAAATCAACCAAAATATTGAGAGACCTAAACACGTTGTGTTTATGTCGTTTTTTCCAATCAGGTTCGGAAAGATGTTTCATTTCATTCCGAACATATGATACCAAGAACAAAAGAAGTGTCTTCTACAACAATGTAGAGAAAAGTATATATATTTTTTCAAAATTATATTGTTACCATTCAAAAGATGACCATTAAATTGACGATGTGTAAAATTTTTAGATTTTTTTATGACTGGTTTAAGAGAAACGTGTGTTCAAAAAGTTCACCATATCGATAACAATCCTTTAGATACAGCTTAGTGTTTTGTTGAAGGTATCATCGGAAAATCACATTATACTACCACGGGATCAGGAGGTAACTATCTGTGTCTACCTAAGGAACCTGAATGGGGATACACTATGGCTGGTACACAGTCAAATAGTTATATCTATGGAGTAGAGTATGAGGTTCACCCTGCAAACAATCCATTTCTAACTGATAACTTCCCTGATCCTACACAACCGGCTCGTTGGCTCCATGAACATGATGCAGTATGTGCTGTTTGTAGAATTCCCGAGAGGAGCAGCCACTTTATGCTCCCTGCAATGAAATCATGCCCTGATTCTTGGACTAAGGAATACAGTGGATACTTAATGAGTGAACATAACTCCCATCAAAAGTCTGAGTTTATTTGCGTTGATGAAGCTCCCGAAGCTGATGGGGGAGGTCATGAAAACAAGAATGGGGGTCTTCTGTATGTGGTAGAAGCCGTTTGTGGTTCTCTTCCTTGTCCAAAATATATCAATGGATATGAACTCACGTGTGCTGTATGTACGAAGTAAATTCGACTGATATCTGATATTAACGTACTACTTTGTATTGCACATGAAGTGACAATGAAAATATTGTGTTATTAAATTACAGTTAAACCAACAGATACAGCTTACCTTATTGAAACATATCTGCATCTCTTTATAATTGAACTACCCACTGGAAACCAATAGCTGTTAAAAATGGCATTTTTATCCCATCGAACGAAGTTCGGAGGGATATAGGGAACGCCTCCGTCCGTCTGTCCGTCCGGGCAATAACTCAAATACCATTGGCCCGATTTTGTTCATATTTTTACACATATACCCAATGGAGGTAGAAGTTCTGCTCGAAAACCGATTAGAGAGACCTTATACAGAATACCTTATAGAGAGACATTATACAGAATACCTTATAGAGAGACCTTATACAGAATACCTTATAGAGAGACATTATACAGAATACCTTATAGAGAGACATTATACAGAATACTTTATATAGAGACCTTATACAGAATACCTTATAGAGAGACCTTATAAGAATACCTTATAGAGAGACATTATACAGAATACCTTATAGAGAGACTTTATACAGAATACCTTATAGAGATACCTGATACAGAATACCTTATAGAGAGACATAATACAGAATACTTTATAGAGAGACATTATACAGAATACTTTATAGAGAGACCTTATACAGAATACTTTATAGAGAGACATTATACAGAATACCTTATAGAGAGACATTATACAGAATACTTTATAGAGAGACATTATACAGAATACTTTATAGAGAGACATTATACAGAATACTTTATGGAGAGACATTATACAGAATGCCTTATAGAGAGACGTTATACAGAATACCTTATAGAGAATCCTTATACAGAATACCTTATAGAGAGACATTATACAGAATACCTTAGAGAGAGACATTATACAGAATACTTTATAGAGAGACATTATACAGAATGCCTTATAGAGAGACATTATACATAATACTTTATAGAGAGACATTATACAGAATACCTTATAGAGAGACCTTTTACAGTATACTTTATAGAGAGACATTATACAGAATACCTTATAGAGAGACATTATACAGAATACCTTATAGAGAGACCTTTTACAGTATACTTTATAGAGAGACATTATACAGAATACCTTATTGAGAGACATTATACAGAATACCTTATAGAGAGACCTTTTACAGTATACTTTATAGAGAGACATTATACAGAATACCTTATAGAGAGACCTTTTACAGTATACTTTATAGAGAGACATTATACAGAATACCTTATAGAGAGACATTATACAGAATACTTTATAGAGAGACATTATACAGAATACCTTATAGAGAGACCTTATACAGAATACCTTATAGAGAGACCTTATACAGAATACCTTATAGAGAGACCTTATACCTAGTAGAGAGGTTCCGCACAACGGGCTATAGCTGAAACATATCAGCATCTAATTTAATTGAACTACTCACTGAAAACCAATAGCTGTTATGGCAAATGGCATTTTCATGTTATTGAAAATAGCTGAAACTAAATGAGGATGGACAATGAGAATGGACATCGCAAACTGACATATTTGTCAGATCTATGAAAAAGTTAAATTGAAAAAAAAATCTATTGAAAAAAGTTTTCTTTTCAATAGAAAAATATTTTTGGACCACGCTGTATATTACATTTAAATGAGGATAAAAAAAATTCCGCTTCTTGACCCCTTGTTATGGCAGGCCAAATCCGGAAAATGTGCAACTCCATAAAATGACGTATCTGCTTTTAATTTGATTGACTTTAGTAAGACTTTGTTTTCTCCATTTAAACTTTCTTATAAGTCAAATTGCAGATTTTGATTTTGTCCACTTTGAGAGAATTAGTTTAAGAATATATACACGCGGTTGGGAATTTGGTTTTAAATGCAGCCGTAATTTAAACATTTGGTTCTTGCGGACTTTGAGGTGATGTAAAAGAGCTAGTTAAGGGACAGTGCTTTTTACAAAGTCATCTAAATACACAAAAGACATCCTTAAGCGAGATTATTAGACTCTAAGAAAAAGTAGGAAAAGTATGACAGTTGACATTTAGCGAAATTTATTGATACGAGTCTCGGAAGAAGGATAGGATAATAATTTATAATGTGTGATTCAATTGATTTTTGAGATGGGAATGTATTTCAACTAAGAATACAACCTAGTTCACTGAGTTCAAATCTTAAATGATGGCAGCCCACGTGAAATGAGCCCTGCATTTTAAATGATCAATTTAGATCATTCCAAAACATTTTTCCATGTTTCGCTTAATATTGATAGTATAAAAATGCATACAGCTTGCATATCAAGAGAGAAATTGGAACCTCCAGAGTCAGACTACTTATAATGCAAGATAATCAAAGTGCATTTCTTATGAAATTCGTTTCAAGTAAAAACAAGTGTTGCAATAAACACATCTCGTGTGCTTTCATAACATCTGTTATATTTAAAGTACAGGGGCTCAGATATTATTCTACTGAATATGTGCATGCCACTGTAACGTCTAACATGTTAGATTAGATAAAGGAAAGATGAATAACAAAGTCATGGCCAAAAAGCATTTACAAAAACTTTTGGTTTAGATGAAGGTTTGTCTGACATTACGAATAGACTTTTTTCAAATATATTTATGGACACAATATTTCATTTTGGAAGTCACGGTGGAGACGTTCAAAGTCACACGTACAGGGTGTCAAGAGAAACTGTCAATGGAATAGTAAATTCTGTAACGTATTATAAACTTTACAAAGTGGTGATTATCCACCCACATGCCAACTAATAAGAGCTACAATCTAGTTATGTAATAGCACTGTGGTCGAAGAACATTTAAATGGGATTGAATAGTAAATAAACATTTAAGTGCAATCTTGAATATTTCATTTAGATGCATAGATATCTGGTCTATGGCATTTTGTGACGTGCAGTAAGTATAATCAAATGTTTTCAGAGTTAATGGGTTGACACCTATTCAAATAGTTGTTTACAATTTTTGGTAAAATTGAGAATCGTATGTTACGACTCAAGTTTTGTTGTAAACAAAGTATTTAATTTAATATCTGAACGCAACTGATCAACATGGAAAAGAAGAATAACTTCACTCTGCAAACCATTGCAATAGCCTTTGCTCTGGTGATTGCTGTCTTGTCATTTGTATGCTCAATTGTACTATACAACGAAACACAAAAACAAAATGGTGGGCCAGTCGAACTGGATGCTAAAATAGCCAAATTGAATAACGAACTGTACCAAGTGAAATATGATCTCGTTCAATTAACCGGTGAGCTTATTCAGGTCAAACATGAACTTGGCAAAGTCAAAAAAGAGTTCTTTCAACAACAAAACGAATCTCGAAATGAAGTTTTTAACGTGAATGTCGAATGTCTGAAAGTAAAGAATGAACAAAAAGAGGCGCAGTTACGTATTGGTGAACTTGAAACACGAATACAGGTATGTTCTTTAAAAACAGCTCGAAATCCCCAATTCATGTCAGACATTGTACGATTTTTTACGAAAGGTTTTCATACCTCAACATAAACTTGAATCTATACAAACATTTTTTATCAAGAAACCATCAACTATGAATGTAATTGTCTAACCACAATAACAAACCAGAGCATTTCATTCACTGGCCAGGTTTACAAAGATAACAAAGTACGACATGTCACACTTTCCAAAATGAAAAATCGATGGGATATTTAGTCACAGTTAAGTCTAAATCTAAATTGGGTTTTTTTACAGAAAAAAGAATGATTCGTGATAATCTGATGCACTTCATTGTGTTTTCTGGACGTTTATCCTATCTTATTTTATATTGTTTGACATTTTTTAGCATTTGATCAGCGCCAAAGATCAGAATGATGAAAAAACGTATTTTAACACAACATTGAATAGAATAAAACGACAAACGACAGCAGCAGTCGCAGGTCTGTAAAACATTCAATTTAAACTTTTAAAAAATCATGGAGATTAATTTTTTATTTGCATAGCATTTACTTAATAACAATCATAATCATATTAAAGCTGAACAATCATTTTCATTAACATTATGTATTCAAGGCTGCGATTGCAATGGGCGTGATGGTAGAGATGGATTAGTTGGACCACAAGGGCCACCCGGCCCAGAAGGCAAACCTGGTCCCCAAGGTATCCCGGGGGCACAAGGTACACCGGGGGCGCAAGGCACACCTGGAGTGCAGGGAGCAAGTGGCAGAGATGGTAGGGATGTACGTGCACTTTTTATTCTACACAATGCAATGAATTCCTGATGGTGGTGACATCACCAGTCATTAATAATCAAACCAGGCTTAAATCAACAAGTTTAACTCATATTGGGCAACGAAGCTTCAAAAGAAACGTAAAAACATTATCTTAGTTTTTCCAGATTAATTTTGGTCGATGCGTTCATGAATACGACAATTTTGAATAAATTGAGAATATATTTTGATTCAGGCGTGATATTATTTTTACACACGAATGGATAGGGCACTGGAAAGGAGGGATCGTAGCGTAGGGAGCTGTTTTGTATGCTTCATTTTTTGATAGATGAAAATATGGGAATTTTTAATTAAAGAATAATACTAAATGTTGTTTCATATTTAGGTTGTAATTGGACAGGGCTTATCCATTAGTGATATGAGTAACTTACTTGAACAGCTACATATTGCTGCACCATACAGTAACAAATCCACTGGTGCGCAGGGTCCCCCTGGTCCCCGAGGCCAAAGAGGTTTAGCAGGTGGCGCTGTTTATACAAGATGGGGGAGAACCACATGCCCAAGTGGTGTTGAGAAAGTGTATGTTGATGGATCAGCCCTTTGAAGTGGGTAATTTGTGGCTAATCAGATGTGACAATTGTCATATGTTGGTGGATCAGCCCTTTGAAGTGGGTAATATGCGGTTAATCATATGTGGCAATTGTCTTATGTTGATGGATCAGCCCTTTGAAGTGGGTAATATGCAGTTAATCAGAGGTGACAATTGTCTTATGTTGGTGGATCAGCCCTTTAAAGTGGGTAATATGCAGTTAATCAGAGGTGACAATTGTCTTATGTTGGTGGATCAGCCCTTTAAAGTGGGTAATATGCAGTTAATCAAATGTGACAATTGTCGTATGTTGGTGGATCTGCCCTTTGAAGTGGGTAATATGCAGTTAATCAGATGTGACAATTGTCGTATGTTGGTGGATCAGTCCTTTGAAGTTGGTAATATGCAGGTAATCAGATGTGACAATTGTCTTATGTTGGTGGATCAGCCCTTTGAAGTGGGTAATATGTGGTTAATCATATGTGACAATTGTCTTATGTTGGTGGATCAGCCCTTTGAAGTGGGTAATATGCAGTTAATCAGATGTGACAATTGTCTTATGTTGGTGGATCAGCCCTTTGAAGTGGGTAATATGCGGTTAATCAGATGTGACAATTGTCTTATGTTGGTGGATCAGCCCTTTGAAGTGGGTAATATGCGGTTAATCAGATGTGACAATTGTCTTATGTTGGTGGATCTGCCCTTTGAAGTGGGTAATATGCGGTTAATCAGATGTGACAATTGTCTTATGTTGGAGGATCAGCCCTTTGAAGTGGGTAATATGCAGTTAATCAGATGTGACAATTGTCATATGTTGGTGGATCAGCCCTTTGAAGTGGGTAATATGCGGTTAATCAGAGGTGACAATTGTCGTATGTTGGTGGATCTGCCCTTTGAAGTGGGTAATATGCGGTTAATCAGATGTGACAATTGTTGTATGTTGGTGGATCAGCCCTTTGAAGTGGGTAATATGCAGTTAATCAGATGTGACAATTGTCTTATGTTGGTGGATCAGCCCTTTAAAGTGGGTAATATGCAGTTAATCAGATGTGACAATTGTCATATGTTGGTGGATCAGCCCTTTGAAGTGGGTAATATGCAGTTAATCAGATGTGACAATTGTTGTATGTTGGTGGATCAGCCCTTTGAAGTGGGTAATATGCAGTTAATCAGAGGTGACAATTGTCATATGTTGATGGATCAGCCCTTTGAAGTGGGTAATATGCAGTTAATCATATGTGACAATTGTCATATGTTGGTGGATCAGCCCTTTGAAGTGGGTAATATGCGGTTAATCATATGTGGCAATTGTCTTATGTTGATGGATCAGCCCTTTGAAGTGGGTAATATGCAGTTAATCAGATGTGACAATTGTCTTATGTTGGTGGATCAGCCCTTTGAAGTGGGTAATATGCAGTTAATCAGATGTGACAATTGTCTTATGTTGGTGGATCTGCCCTTTGAAGTGGGTAATATGCAGTTAATCAGATGTGACAATTGTCGTATGTTGGTGGATCAGCCCTTTAAAGTGGGTAATATGCAGTTAATCAGAGGTGACAATTGTCTTATGTTGGTGGATCTGCCCTTTGAAGTGGGCAGTATGCAGTTAATCAGTTGTGACAATTGTCTTATATTGGTGGATCTGCCCTTTGAAGTTGGTAATTTGTGGTTAATCAGATGTGACAATTGTCTTATGTTGGTGGATCAGACCTTTGAAGCGGGTAATATGCGGTTAATCATATGTGGCAATTGTCTTATGTTGGTGGATCAGACCTTTGAAGTTGGTAATATGCGGTTAATCAGATGTGACAATTGTCATATGTTGGAGGATCAGCCCTTTGAAGTGGGTAATATGTGGTTAACCAGATGTGGCAATTGTCGTATGTTGATGGATCAGCCCTTTGAAGTGGGTAATATGCAGTTAATCAGAGGTGACAATTGTCGTATGTTGATGGATCAGCCCTTTGAAGTGGGTAATATGCAGTTAATCAAATGTGACAATTGTCGTATGTTGGTGGATCAGCCCTTTGAAGTGGGTAATATGCTGTTAATCAGATGTGACAATTGTCGTATGTTGGTGGATCAGCCCTTTGAAGTGGGGAATATGCAGTTAATCAGATGTGACAATTGTCATATGTTGGTGGATCAGCCCTTTGAAGTGGGTAATATGCAGTTAATCAGATGTGACAATTGTCTTATGTTGGTGGATCAGCCCTTTGAAGTGGGTAATATGCAGTTAATCAGATGTGACAATTGTCGTAGTTTGGTGGATCAGCCCTTTGAAGTGGGTAATATGCAGTTAATCAGATGTGACAATTGTCTTATGTTGGTGGATCAGCCCTTTGAAGTGGGTAATATGCAGTTAATCAGATGTGACAATTGTCATATGTTGGTGGATCAGCCCTTTGAAGTGGGTAATATGCTGTTAATCAGATGTGACAATTGTCTTATGTTGGTGGATCAGCCCTTTGAAGTGGGTAATATGCAGTTAATCAGATATGACAATTGTCTTATGTTGGTGGATCAGCCCTTTGAAGTGGGTAATATGCTGTTAATCAGATGTGACAATTGTCTTATGTTGGTGGATCAGCCCTTTGAAGTGGGTAATATGCAGTTAATCAGATGTGACAATTGTCGTAGTTTGGTGGATCAGCCCTTTGAAGTGGGTAATATGCAGTTAATCAGATGTGACAATTGTCTTATGTTGGTGGATCAGCCCTTTGAAGTGGGTAATATGCAGTTAATCAGATGTGACAATTGTCATATGTTGGTGGATCAGCCCTTTGAAGTGGGTAATATGCTGTTAATCAGATGTGACAATTGTCTTATGTTGGTGGATCAGCCCTTTGAAGTGGGTAATATGCAGTTAATCAGATATGACAATTGTCTTATGTTGGTGGATCAGCCCTTTGAAGTGGGTAATATGCTGTTAATCAGATGTGACAATTGTCTTATGTTGGTGGATCAGCCCTTTGAAGTGGGTAATATGCAGTTAATCAGATGTGACAATTGTCGTAGTTTGGTGGATCAGCCCTTTGAAGTGGGTAATATGCAGTTAATCAGATGTGACAATTGTCTTATGTTGGTGGATCAGCCCTTTGAAGTGGGTAATATGCAGTTAATCAGATGTGACAATTGTCTTATGTTGGTGGATCAGCCCTTTGAAGTGGGTAATATGCTGTTAATCAGATGTGACAATTGTCTTATGTTGGTGGATCTGCCCTTTGAAGTGGGTAATATGCAGTTAATCAGATGTGACAATTGTCTTATGTTGGTGGATCAGCCCTTTGAAGTGGGTAATATGCAGTTAATCAGATGTGACAATTGTCGTATGTTGGTGGATCAGCCCTTTGAAGTGGGTAATATGCTGTTAATCAGATGTGACAATTGTCGTATGTTGGTGGATCAGCCCTTTGAAGTGGGTAATATGCAGTTAATCAGATGTGACAATTGTCATATGTTGGTGGATCAGCCCTTTGAAGTGGGTAATATGTGGTTAACCAGATGTGGCAATTGTCGTATGTTGATGGATCAGCCCTTTGAAGTGGGTAATATGCAGTTAATCAGAGGTGACAATTGTCTTATGTTGGTGGATCAGCCAATTGAAGTTGGTAATATGCAGTTAATCAGAGGTGACAATTGTCTTATGTTGGTGGATCATCCCTTTGAAGTGGGTAATATGCAGTAAATCAGATGTGACAATTGTCTTATGTTGGTGGATCAGCCCTTTGAAGTGGGTAATATGCAGTAAATCAGAGGTGACAATTGTCATATGTTGATGGATCAGCCCTTTGAAGTGGGTAATATGCAGTTAATCATATGTGACAATTGTCATATGTTGGTGGATCAGCCCTTTGAAGTGGGTAATATGCGGTTAATCATATGTGGCAATTGTCATATGTTGGTGGATCAGCCCTTTGAAGTGGGTAATATGCAGTTAATCAGATGTGACAATTGTCATATGTTGGTGGATCAGACCTTTGAAGTGGGTAATATGCGGTTAATCATATGTGACAATTGTCATATGTTGGTGGATCAGCCCTTTGAAGTGGGTAATATGCAGTTAATCAGATGTGACAATTGTCTTATGTTGGTGGATCAGCCCTTTGAAGTGGGTAATATGCAGTAAATCAGAGGTGACAATTGTCATATGTTGATGGATCAGCCCTTTGAAGTGGGTAATATGCGGTTAATCATATGTGACAATTGTCATATGTTGGTGGATCAGCCCTTTGAAGTGGGTAATATGCAGTTAATCATATGTGACAATTGTCATATGTTGGTGGATCAGCCCTTTGAAGTGGGTAATATGCGGTTAATCATATGTGACAATTGTCATATGTTGGTGGATCAGCCCTTTGAAGTGGGTAATATGCAGTTAATCAGATGTGACAATTGTCATATGTTGGTGGATCAGACCTTTGAAGTGGGTAATATGCAGTTAATCAGATGTGACAATTGTCTTATGTTGGTGGATCAGCCCTTTGAAGTGGGTAATATGCAGTTAATCAGATGTGACAATTGTCGTATGTTGGTGGATCAGCCCTTTGAAGTGGGTAATATGCAGTTAATCAGATGTGACAATTGTCATATGTTGGTGGATCAGACCTTTGAAGTTGGTAATATGCAGTTAATCAGATGTGACAATTGTCATATGTTGGTGGATCAGCCCTTTGAAGTGGGTAATATGCAGTTAATCAGATGTGACAATTGTCGTAGTTTGGTGGATCAGCCCTTTGAAGTGGGTAATATGCTGTTAATCAGATGTGACAATTGTCGTAGTTTGGTGGATCAGCCCTTTGAAGTGGGTAATATGCAGTTAATCAGATGTGACAATTGTCTTATGTTGGACGATCAGTCCTTTGAAGTTGGTAATATGCAGTTAATCAGATGTGACAATTGTCTTATGTTGGTGGATCAGCCCTTTGAAGTTGGTAATATGCAGTTAATCAGATATGACAATTGTCTTATGTTGGTGGATCAGCCCTTTGAAGTGGGTAATATGCGGTTAATCAGATGTGACAATTGTCATATGTTGGTGTTTCAGCCCTTTGAAGTGGGTAATATGCAGGGGGTGAAGCATCACATCCAGTAGATTGAGCCAGTTCTACTATTCGATATTCCAAGCCCCTCATATCAGTCTGTGTAATTGATGGGTTAATAGTGTCTGTATGTGTAGTCACATTATCTCTAAAAGCAGGGTTATCACTGTCGTATTGCGGTGGTGGTCCATATATAAATGATAAGGCATTGTAGTCAGGGGGCTGTGGCAAAGCTCTTGTATCATAACCCAAGCCCCTCCTTTCAATCGGTGGTGCTGACTGAATGTTTGTATGTGTAGCTGGATGAGCAGTAGAAATGTTATATGGCGGTGGTACAAATTGACCATTAACATTTAAATCATTTGTGCTTTCAACGACAGCATCATTTGGATTCTCAACTGGGATTTGTGTCTGTCTTTCTGTCTGTCTTTCGCAAATATTCTCAGGTGTGGCAACAGTTTTAGGATGATTGCAACCAGCAAAGCAGGAACACATCAATATAACTATGCCAATAATCAAGATAATACTCATTATAATATTCTCCCTGAATAATATTTTCCAAATAATGCCCGCTGTGAACACATATAGCCCTAGTATTACACAGACGATAGCGCAAATCTTCCAACCCCCTGATTTCCATAAAAACTGTTTGCAGCACATTTTACCGATACAATGTTGGCTATTTTTCCTCGTAAACTACATGTTTACTTAGTTGTTTGCGAACTTAAACCTCTCACATTACCTGTTTCAAACATTGAATTTTTAGTTGTTATTCATTTCTACATATTACGCTTAAATAACCTTATATCAGTTACTCTTTATATGCCCTAACTTAATGCCCTAACTCTCCCATTCATAGTTATTTAGGTTTTAGGTCAACTTAACTGTAATGCATAAGTAACTTTTCTTTTTATATCTTTAATGTTATACTAATAACCACCACTGTAATATCATTCAACTCATAAACAACTCACAAAATGCAAAAAGACACTTTTTAAACGCATATAAAATCATTCTTATAGATTTCTCACTATTCTACACAAGTCTTGTAGTTTATGGCTTATTAGTTGATGCAAAAAATCTTTCAAATACTTTCTAAGAGTTTCTTGGCCTTTGACTTATATAAATCCTAAAGTGTGCTAAAGCCTTAAGTGTGGCAAAGCCTAAAGTATGCTAAGGTCTAAAGTGTGCCAAAGCCTAAAGTGTGCCAAAGCCTAAAGTGTCCTAAATTCTTAAGTGTGCCAAAGCCTAAAGTGTCCTAAATTCTTAATTGTGCCAAATCCTAAAGTGTGCTAAAGCTAAGAAGTGTGCTAAAGCCTAAAGTGTGCCAAAGCCTAAAGTGTGCCAAAGCCTAAAGTGTCCCTAAAGCCTAAAGTGTCCTAAACCCTAAAGTGTTTCAAAGCCTAAAGTGTCCTAAAGCCAAACGTGTGCTAAAGCCTAAAGTGTACTGAAGCCTAAAGTGTGCTAAAGCTATAAAGTGTGCTGAAGCCTAAAGTGTACTGAAGCCTAAAGTGTGCTAAAGCTATAAAGTGTGCTAAAGCCTAAAGTGTACTGAAGCCTAGTGTCCTAAAGCCAAAAATGTGCCAAAGCCTAACATTGAAAGTGCAACAGGTATTGCCCGAACATAGAATGAAATATTTGTTTTATTATGTCCCCACCACATAGTGTGGGGCCATATTGTCGGCCTAGGCGCGTCCGTCCGTCCGTCTGTCTGTTTGTCTGTCTGTCCGTCCGTACGTCCGGCAGTTTTCTCCTAAACCGCTACAGATATCACCTTCAAATTTTCAGGGATAACTTATGAGTGCAAACAGATGTGGACGAAAAAGTTTCAACTCGATACCTACTTCCTGTCGGCCATTTTGAAGTCAAATGCTAAAATCCTTGTCTGCAAACTTTAAGAAAAATGGCTTCACTGTTGCTTTTAAAACTTTAACATCCTGTTCAACTCACTTGATTCTAGATCTGATTAGGTTTTGGACATGTTAGCCCAGTCATGGCAGCCATTTTGAATGTCTTAAGAAAAGTTAGCGTGCGATAATACTTTGTATCATATTGAATGGTGTTTTTGAGTTTTCATACTTAGACTATTTAGTAGCTTTATAAAAAAGTTCAGGTGTACTTTATTGTAAAAGCCTATGTTATTGTTAACAGTAGTTATATGTGCTAATTTTGTAAAAAGAAATCAGCAAAAACTTATAATCACTTTTTTATTGTCGGCCATTTTGGATTTTTCCATCCTAAAATCTTGTCTGTAAAGTCTTGTCTATGCGTTTTCAGGCGAACCATTTGGTAGATCATTTCCAAATTTTCAGGGATGTTTCTTAGTATGAAAATCTAGATCTGATTAGTTTTTTGGCATTCTGGGTAAATGTCAAGGCAGCCATTTTGGATTTTCCGTCCTAAAATCTTGTCTGTGAAGTCTTGTTTTATCATTGCTAGACATTCGCTTACTTTGCAGACTGGCACTCTTGTAATATTCTCCATCCTTCGTTCGCAGTTCAAGAAAACTGAAATCCTCTAAAATTCCATCCAGAACGATTTTATCGATAGATTTAATGTCTATTTCGATATTTTTTTCGTCCACATAACACTTGAAAATGTTCCAAGACTTTAATTGTGTTTTTAGAATGCACATCCCTCAAGATGTCGTTCTTTTCATCGGAATTCAGACTTTTAAATCTTTTTCTGTCTTTTTCCATTTTAATGCATGTCACAACTGTACTGGATGAAACAGGACGATTCAGAATTCCCGGGCGGGCAATATGCCGGGCAATTCGTCTTTAAAAATTCATAAATTAAGGGAGCTGTGAAATACACTTTGGTATTTTTGATCACATGGTACTGAATCAGCCAATCATTAGGACTCAAATTCTAGCAATGATATAATAAAACATTTATTCTTAAATGAATCCTGAAAGAGAACTTCATTCTTCAGTAAACTGTTGAATCACATGATTAAAATTACATGAATAATATCACATGAGTAAAATTACATGAGTAATATCATGTGAGTAAAATTACATGAGTAATATCATGAAAATCACATGAGTAATATCATAAAAATCACATGAGTAATATCACATGAGTAATATCACACAAGTAATATCACATGAGTAAAATTATGTAGGAAAAAAATAGCACATGAGTAATATTATTTGATTAAAATCAAATGAGTAAAATCCCACGAGTAATATCATAATATAATATGAGTAATACCCTGGTCTAGATGCATGTTAGAGACAATGGAATGACAACAGCTGATTTATATTTTAAATACTGCACAAGTACTCTGAGTTATAATGAACAGTAGAGCAATTTGATTGGTTAGGAGTATTTTGATATGGTTCAATCCAAAACTCCAAACTCACTATAGACATCCTCATAGAGGGGGAAAATGGAATATCCTGATGGGGAAACATTAAAACATGATTCTCTACTGCTTGTCTATTTTGTTATGATGCAGGTAAAGCGTTACATGTTTTAAGATAACTTGTCCATTTTGCCTCATTGAGTGCAAAGGTATAAGGAAATTAGTTGGAGTTAGGTCCCTGGAAAAACAAATGAATGGGGAAATGGGGAACAGTATTATCATAATATGATACAATCACCTACAAGCTCTCTTAAAATTGTTAGCTTAACCAACTTATCAATTCACAATAATTCACAAAAAGGCTTCATATTCCAGATCATAGTATTGGTAACAAAGCGGGGGATTTGGACACTAATGGAGGAAGAAAAGAGGAGAATGTTGGTGGTGGGAAGAAGGAACCACAAGGAGAGAGTGAACAGAATAAAGGAAGACAGAGGCATAGGAAGAAAAGAAAGAAAACAAAGAATGACCACTCCACCACAAACAATGTACAGCATCAGAAAAGTACACTTTTACAGAAAGTATGTGATCATTTATTTACTGGCCGGGTAACTAGATAACTGTATGCATTTGACAATCAAAATTGTTCTGCAAACCTTGATCCCAATGCTGTTTTGTTAATCAAAAGAAAATAAGGCAAACCGAAATTGAAATTGAAATTCATGAAAGGTGGTCAACTTTACCTGTTGCAGCGTCTTGCCTCATTATTTACATGTATTATATGATGTGAAATCACTTCCAAACATTAACTGGCAATGAATTATGATATTTAACATTTTTTTCGTGGATAGGTATTCTGGCATATCCACCTCATGGTCATCCAGTACCTCCCTTGAGAAATACTTTATTTTAAAGAATGGGTCTACTAAAACAGAAGCCGAGCCTAGTATTTTTATTAATCAGATTTGAGTATTTCAATGAGGTGCATTATAACAAAAAATATTGACTGCTCTTTGATCAATCAGATTATTTCTTGTTGTAATGCCAGAATGATTTTTGTTGTTATACCAAATTGTTGTAAATGTTGTCATTCCAAACTTTTGTAGATGCTGATAAACCAGATTTGGTATACGTAGTAATGCCAGATTTCTGTATATAAATGTTGTAAAACTCGATTTTTGTGTTGTAGTACCAGATTGATGTACTTGCTGTAATGCTTGAATGTTGTAAAACCAGACTACTGTATATTTTCAGCTACTAGCCAGAGAGATAAGACATGAGAGGAATGTCCTACTTCAGTGCATCAGATATCTCGTGAAGAAACAACTTGTCAAAAGACAAAACAAAGACACTCAAATTAAAACAATGAACAGTCAAAATATAATTGATGATGAAATATGGGAAAATAATAAACTGTGAATTAATTGAAATGAGTCATAAGAATAGAGTCGTGCTTATGGTTTGTAAGTATAAAACAAATATATGTGTACATTGTATATGTAAACTGAAATAAAACCACATCAAAATATCTCATTGTCATGTTAAAGTAAAAGTACAACAGATTCGATCAGAAATGTCAAAGTAAGAGGAATTTAGTGAAAAATTCAATGACAACATATTTCATCGTTTTATGTGCCAGATTCAAATCTTATTTAATAAGAGAAACCTAGACACTCTACATACTTCTGACTGTTTCTAACTACTTCTAACTGCTTCTAACTACTTATAACTGCTTTAAAGAATTTAGTTGGGATCTGACCTCTTCACAGACTTGAAAGAAAATAAGTGATGATTAATTAAAGAGAAAATTCTGTGATCGATTATGACATTTATACTTATGGGTCTTAGGGCCACTTTAATTATGACAAGAGAAATTTCAACACTCTCGGTAGTCAATTAATTAAGACAGATTTGCATATAGTGCCTACTCTAGCAATATATACCATGTACCATATTCTGTCTAGGTAGCACATATCCCCTAAACACATACGGTAGTACCTCTGGCTCTACTGAAATTTTACTCCTTTTCCAGCAGGGCTTTGAGGTTTATGATATCTTTTTGATTATATTTCATGCAAAGAAAGTATGAGAGACATAGAGCATTTATAGTCTAGGGGTAACAACTAAAGAAGTTGAGACATCGTTTGTATTGATTTCACCTATTGCCAGCTTTATTTGTTGTCTAAAATTCTTATATATACATCTTGGAGATTCTAAATATTTCCATTTTCCATGTTACTTTTTGGAGCACACTGTGTACTTATTAGAGAGAATGTGGTTGTGGAAAAGTAGTAAAATGAACTAAAGGTGTAAGTGCACATAATTGATATTGATCTACAATTGTAATATGTAATATAGGTCAATGTCAATATTTGAACAGTTGGTTAAGAAAGAAATACATTCTATTGCATTGTCATATTAGCTGCTGTGAAATAGGAGGGGAGGGGTGCAATAACAGGTACTTTCTGGGCTCCATATTTCTAAGAAAATGAAATCGCTGATAAAACTATATTTTTATCGCACCTTTTAAAATGTTTCTGATGTAAGAAGAGATTGTATTGATAATGACAATATTCTCTTGAAATCATTTATCGTGAGAACCCCAGAATAAAACACCTATAAGAAGCATCTTTATGGCATATGAAAATTTATGTATTATATGTTGCTCTGAAATTAACTAAAGAATAAGGACAAAATCACTCGCTGAATGTGGGACTTGAGGCATCCTCCCTCTTACCTTCTTCCAAGGCTGATGAGATAAAGAATTGTTACATTACATTTACAGTATTTTGAGAAAAGTATAAATTGAAAAAATCGTTAACTTTACAAAATTCTGTTTTGGTCACAAACAGCTGGCAGTAAGAAAATCAGCCATAATTAATAATGCAAGTATTTATTAATGCAAATAAAAGTATTTCCAACAAGTAGCTCTTACATATTTGTGCTTATCCATTCAAGTGGGATGTCAGTAAAATACTGGGAAATTTAGAATACACGCCTATACATAGTTCAGAATACAGTAATAACATTTAAACCTCTGTATTAGAATGATTATTATAGTACTAGATTATACTGTAGTACTGATTATAGTACTACAGTAAAACCTGTGTAAGTGAAATACCATTGGTTGAGCAAAAAGTGTTCCACTTAAGAGGTGTTCCATACGTAGGTGTTCCTCTTAGGAGATGTTCCACTTAGGAGGTGTTCCACTTAGGAGGTATTCCACTTCGGAGGTCAAATGTTATGTTATATTATGTCAAATATATGACCTCAAATTTTATTATGGCCATTGCCAAAGACCTCAGTCGCTACACGATTTCGGTCTTTTAACAATGAACAGAATAAAATATTCGGTCATATATTTCGCCATAAATCATAAAATCTCGGTCTTTATTCCCACGGCGATTCCTTAAATATTTGACTTGATTATTTGACATGATTCAATTACCTGTCTACTCTATGATGGCTTCACAAACTGAGATGGGAGTGTATTTCAACTAAGAATGCAACCTAGTTCACTGAGTTCAAATCTTAAAAGATGGCAGCCCACGTGAAATGATTCCTGCATTTTAAATGATCAATTTTGATCATTCCAAAACATTTTTCCACATTTCGCTAATATCGATAGTTTAAAACTAGTAACAGCTGGCATATCAAGAGAGAAATTAGAACCTCCAGAGTCGGACTACTTATAATGCTAGATTATCAAAGTGCATTTCTTATGAAATTCGTTTCAAGTAAAAACAAGTGTTACACTAACAACGTACCGTGTGCTTTCATAACATCTGTTATATTTAAAGTACAGGGGCTCAAATATTATTCTATTGAATATGTGCATGCCACTGTAACGTCTAAAATGTTAGATTAGATAAAGGAAAGATGAATAACAAAGTCATGGACCAAAAAGCAACTTAAAAAACCCTTGGTTTAGATGAAAGTTTGTCTGACATTACGAATATAATTATTTCAAATATCTCTATGGACACAATATTTCATTTTGGAAGTCACGGTGGAGAAGTTCAAAGTCACACGTACAGGGTGTCAAGAAAAACTGTCAATGGAATAGTAAATTCTGTAACGTATTATAAACTTTACAAAGTGGTGATTATTCACCCACATGCCAAATAATAAAAGCTACAATCTAGTTATGTAATAGCACTGTGGTCGAAGAACATTTAAATGGAAATAGTAAATAAACATTTAAGTGCAATCTTGAATATTTCATTTAGATGCATAGATATCTGGTCTATGTCATTTTGTGACGTGCAGTAAGCATATTCCAAATGTTTTCAGAGTTAATGGGTCGACACCTATTCAAATAGTTGTTTACATGCAATGTTGCTAAAATTGAGAATCGTATGTTACGACTCATGTTTTGTTGTAAACAACGTATTTAATTTAAGATCTGGACGCAACTGATCAACATGGAAAAGAAGAATAACTTCACTGTGCAAACCATTGCAATAGCCTTTGCTTTGGTGGTTGCTGTCTTGTCTTTTGTATGCTCAATTGTAGTATACTACGAAACACAAAAACAAAATGGTGGGCCAGTCGAACTGGATGCTAAAATAGCCAAATTGAATAACGAACTGTACCAAGTGAAATATGATCTCGTTCAAGTAACCGGTGAGCTTATTCAGGTCAAACATGAACTTGGCAAAGTCAAAGAAGAGTTCTTTCAACAACAAAACGAATCTAGAAATGAAGTTTTTAACGTGAATGTCGAATGTCTGAAAGTAAAGAATGATCAAAAAGAGGCGCAGTTACGTATTGGTGAACTGGAAACACAAATGCAGGTATGTTCTTTAAAAACATCTCGAAATCCCCAATTCATGTCAGACATTGCACGATTCTTTACATAAGGTTTTCATACCTCAGCATATATTTGAATCGATACAAACATTTTTTATCAAGGAACTATCAACTATGAATGTAATTGTCTCACCACAATAACAAACCAGAGCATTTCATTCACTCGCCCGGTTTACAAAGATAACAAAGTACGACATGTCACACTTTCCAAAATGAAAAATCGATGGGATATTTAGTCACAGTTAAGTCTATCTAAATTGTTTTTTTTTACAGAAAAAAGAATGATTCGTGATAATCTGATGCACTTCATTGTGTTTTCTGGACGTTTATCCTATCTTATTTTATCTTATCTTGTTTGACATTTTTAGTATTTGACAAGCGCCAAAGATCAGAATGATGAAAACACGTATTTTAACGCAACACTGCTGAACAGAATAAAACGACAAACGTCAGCAGCAGTTGCAGGTATGTAAAATATTCCCTTTAAACTTATAAAAATTCATGGAGATTTTTTTTATTTGCATAGCACTCACTTAAAATATAGAACAATCATGATCATATCTAAGTTGAACAATCATTTTCATAAACATTTTGTATTCAAGGCTGCAATTGCAATGGGCGTGATGGTAGAGATGGATTAGTTGGACCACAAGGGCCACCCGGCCCAGAAGGCAAACCAGGTCCCCAGGGTATATGTATATTTCTTCATGTTTAGGTTGCAATTGTAATGGCCGTGATGGTAGAGATGGATTAGTTGGACCACAAGGGCCACCCGGCCCAGAAGGCAAACCAGATCCCCAGGGTATATGTATATTTCTTCATGTTTAGGTTGCAATTGTAATGGCCGTGATGGTAGAGATGGATTAGTTGGACCACAAGGGCCACCCGGCCCAGAAGGCAAACCAGGTCCCCAGGGTATATGTATATTTCTTCATGTTTAGGTTGCAATTGTAATGGCCGTGATGGTAGAGATGGATTAGTTGGACCACAAGGGCCACCCGGCCCAGAAGGCAAACCAGATCCCCAGGGTATATGTATATTTCTTCATGTTTAGGTTGCAATTGTAATGGTCGTGATGGTAGAGATGGATTAGTTGGACCACAAGGGCCACCCGGCCCAGAAGGCAAACCAGGTCCCCAAGGTACCCCGGGGGCAAAAGGTACACCTGGAGTTCAGGGAGCTGCTGGCAGAGATGGTAGGGATGTAAGTGCACTTTTTATTCTACACAATGCAATGGATTCCTGATGGTGGTGACATCACCAGTCATTAATAATCAAACCAGACTTAAATCAACAAGTTTAATTCATATTGGACAACGAAGCTTTAAAAGAAATGTGAAAACATTATCTTACTTTTCCAGATTAATTTTGGTCGATGCATTCATGAATACGATAGTTTTGAATAAATAGAGAATATATTTTGATTTAGGGCCCCTTTAGGCGTTATATTATTTTTACACACGAATGGATAGGACATTGGAAAGAAGGGATGTAGCGTAGGGAGCTGTGTCTTTTTTATCCTTCGTTTTTGATTGATGAAAATATGGGAATTTTAAATAAAAGAATAATACTAAATGTTGTTTCATATTTAGGGTGTAATTGGACAGGGCTTATCCATTAGTGATATGAGTAACTTACTTGAACAGCTACATATTGCTGCACCATACAGTAACAAATCCACTGGTGCGCAGGGTCCCCCTGGTCCCCGAGGCCCAAGAGGTTTAGCAGGTGGCGCTGTTTATACAAGATGGGGGAGAACCACATGCCCAAGTGGTGTTGAGAAAGTGTATTCAGGTGTGTAAGTCGAGTCTTTGAACCCCGAATGATACTAATTTAAATTATAGTATATAGTTTTTGGTAGATCAATTATTTATTTGATAGTTTGAAATAGGCATTTAAGTTTTTTTTAAGAAAGGTATGTATCAATAGTTGAAGACTGTGTTTATTTGTTGTAAACAAATAGTCACATACATATAGGGCCATGTACAAATTGACAATAGGCATTGAAATTGAAATTCACAATAAATTGATACATTATTTAACAGATAATTGTGTATGAATTTCCACCTTTATTCAGCCTGTCGGTAACACCCCAGTCACATTTGTCACACGGCGGCCGCAGGTCGACCGCAGATCAATTAAATCGGTGAATTTCTGCGGCGAGCGTAGAAAAACTACGCTCGCCTTGCGGCCTCCGTACGGCGTATGCAGATTTTTACAGGCCGCAGGGAAGGCGTAGAAATCATAACTCGGAGTTATAAATTTTTGTTCATTTCTGAGGTCGCTGTAGAAATCAACTGGCTCAACAAGATCAAATCATTATTTGTCAATGTTTCACGATCACTTTTCATTTGATATTACATCCTAGCACTATGAATAACATTTATAAGTTGTCCCAATGTAAATAAAATGAAAAAAAGTATTATTTATCAACAGAAATTTAAAATTCACCGTGCGGCTGCCGTGGGAAATGTGACTGCAAAAGTATGAGAGCGCAGAAATTCCACGGCGAGCGTAGAAATGTTACTGGCCGCAGAAATGATAGACCGCAAGGTCGCCGTAGGAAATGTGACTGGGGTGTTACACCCCAGTCACATTTCTCGCACGGCGGCCGCAAGTCGACCGCAGAACAATTAAATCTGTGAATTTCTGCGGCGAGCGTAGAAAAACTACGCTCGCCTTGCGGCCTCCGTACGGCGTATGCAGATTTTTACAGGCCGCAGGGAAGGCGTAGAAATTATAACCCGGAGTTATAATATTTGTTCATTTCTGAGGTCCCCGTAGAAATCAACTGGCTCAACAAGATTGAATCATTATTTGTCAATGTTTCACGATCACTTTTCATTTGATATTACATCCTAGCACTTTGAATAACATTTATAAATTGCCCTGATGTAACACCCCAGTCACATTTCCTACGGCGACCTTGCGGTCTATCATTTCTGCGGCCAGTAGCTTTTCTACGCTCGCCGCAGAATTTCTGCGCTCTCATACTTTTGCAGTCACATTTTCCACGGCAGCCGCACGGTGAATTTTAAATTTCTATTGATAAATAATAGTTTTTTTCATTTTATTTACATCAGAACAATTTATAAATGTTATTCAAAGAGCTAGGATGTAATATCAAATGAAAAGTGATCGTGAAACATTGACAAATAATGATTCAATCTTGTTGAGCCAGTTGATATCTACGGGGACCTCAGAAATGAACAAATATTATAACTCCGAGTTATAATTTCTACGCCTTCCCTGCGGCCTGTAAAAATCTGCATACGCCGTACGGAGGCCGCAAGGCGAGCGTAGTTTTTCTACGCTCGCCGCAGAAATTCACCGATTTAATTGATCTGCGGTCGACTTGGGGCCACCGTGCGACAAATGTGACTGGGGTGTTAATAAAATGAAAAAAATCTATTATTTATCAATATAAATTTAAAATTCACCGTGCGGCTGCCGTGGGAAATGTGACTGCAAAAGTATGAGAGCGCAGAAATTCTGCGGCGAGCGTAGAAAAGCTACTGGCCGCAGAAATGATAGACCGCAAGGTCGCCGTAGGAAATGTGACTGGGGTGTTACGGTCGACCCAGTAAGTTTATTAACAAAGGATAGGTATCGATATGGTGAACTGAATTCAACAATGTTTTTCTCCTAAACCAATTATTGAAAACATTCTGTAAAGAAACACGATCCTTTATGTAATGTTGACTGATTTACAACAGTTTAATGCGAAAATTATTTATAAATACTTTATATAACTGTTTTTGTTAAAATTTTTTGTTTTTTAGTGCAATTGTTTATTGTTCCTTTCTACCAATTTTTGAGAATGAAATAAAATGTTTTTCCGAACCTTGTTGGAACAAAATAGTATATACAACATATTCTTAGACCTCTCAATATTATAGTTATACAAAGGAAATTTTGGTTGATTTAACAAAAAGTAAAAAAAAAGTATTTTATTTCATTAACAAGATACTAAAAATCAACCGAAATTTCCTTTGTACAATTACAATATTGAGAGACCTAAACACGTTGTGTTTATGTCGTTTTTTCCAATGAGGATCGGAAAGATGTTTCATTTCATTCCGAACATATGATACCAAGAACAAAAGAAGTGTCTTCTAAAACAATGTAGAGAAAAGTATATATATTTTTTCAAAATTATATTGTTACCATTCAAAAGATGACCATTAAATTGACGATGTGTAATTTTTTTAGATTTTTTTAATGACTGGTTTAAGAGAAACGTGTGTTCAAAAAGTTCACCATATCGATAACAATTCTTTAGATACAGCTTAGTGTTTTGTTGAAGGTATCATCGGAAAATCACATTATACTTCCACGGGATCAGGAGGTAACTATCTGTGTCTACCTAAGGAACCTGAATGGGGATACACTATGGCTGGTGCACAGTCAAATACTCATATCTATGGAGTAGAGTATGAGCTTCCCTATGCAAACAATCCGTTTCTTACTGACAACTTCCCCGACCCTACACAACCGGCTAGTTGGCTTCATAACCATGATGCAGTATGTGCTGTTTGTAGAGTCCCCGAGAGGAGCAGCCATTTTATGCTCCCTGCAATGAAATCGTGCCCTGATTCTTGGACTAAGGAATACAGTGGATACTTAATGAGTGAACGTAACTCCCATCAAAAGTCTGAATTTATTTGCGTTGATGAAGCTCCCGAAGCTGATGAAGGAGGTCATGAAAACAAAGATGGGGGTCTTCTGTATGTGGTAGAAGCCATTTGCGGTGCTCTCCCTTGTCCGAAATATATCAATGGATATGAACTCACGTGTGCTGTATGCACGAAGTAAATTCGACTGATATCTGATATGAACGTACTACTTTGTATTGCACATGAACTGACAATGAAAATATTGTGTTATTAAATTACAGTTAAACCAACAGATACAGCTTACCTTATAGAGAGACCTTATACCTGATATAGAGATTCCGCACAACGGGCCATAGCTGAAACGTATCCGCATCTCATTTTAATTGATCTACTCACTGAAAACCAATAGCTGTTAAAAATGGCATTTTCATGCTATTGAAAATAGCTGAAACTAAATGAAGATGGACAATGAGAATGGACATCGCAAACTCACATTTTTGTCAGATCTATGAAAAATTTGTAAAGTTTTCCTTTCAAAAGAAAACGATTTTTGGACCACTCTGTACATTACATTTAAATGAGGATAAAAAAATTTCCGCTTCTTGACCCCTTGTTATGGCAGGCCAAATCCGGAAAACTTGAAGTTTCCCAAGCTGCAAGTATTTAAAAATTCAAGACATATGCAACTCCATAAAATGACGTATCTGCTTTTAATTTGGTTGAGTTTAGTAAGACTTTGTTTTCTCCATTTAAACTTTCTTATAAGTCAAATTGCAGATTTTGATTTTGTCCACTTTGAGAGAATTAGTTTAAGAATATATTTACGCGTTTGGGAATTTGGTTTTAGATGCAGCCGTAATTTAAACATTTGGTTCTTGCGGACTTTGAGGTGATGTAAAAGTAATTAGTTAAGGGACAGTGCTTATTACAAAGTCATCTAAATACACGAAAGACCTCGTTGAGCGAGATTATTAGACGCTAACAAAAAGTAGGAAAAGTATGACAGTTGACATTTAGCGAAATTGATTGATACCGGGTCTCGGAAGAAGGATCAGATAATGATGTATTATGTCCGATTCAATTGATTTTTCTAACAATTTTCGATATCCCAACTCATTTCCTATATTACCCTTTGTGTGAGAATAAGTGAAATCAATTTTCAGTGGCGTTGTTTATGAATTAACAATAGAAAAAGCTTTAAAAGTTTACTACACTCAGACTAAAAAAGCTTAGAAGTCAATTGCATTGTCTTAATAGTTTTTTCTTTACAAATCAACGGAGTCATCAAGTTGGTTGGGCCTACATGACTACAGATTAAAATCTGGTCATGTTTTTGGCCAGTTTTTTGGCCCAACTTGCATAACATGTACAATGTGTTTTCTTTGCACATATATAAAGTGCTAATAAATTAACCGCAACAAACATATCTATTTTGTTACCATTTGTTATGCAACAAGCAAGTAACTTATAGCTAAATGAGCATATGAATCATAAAAAACTTATGTCTATGTAAAAGAAGAAACTTAACAAATGAAAGCATCGTGTGTTACAGTCGGGAAAACTTACTAGAATAGTACTGATTTGTGTAAAGTGACAAATCTGAATCCAATATATATGAGTAACAGTGTATACTTGTACCAAACACATGATCACTAGCCCAAGCTAAATAAATTGTACAAGTACAAATTTCATTAAATATTTATAAAATCGTTCCTGAAATGTGTATAGAAACAAAAGTGCCAACATTATGTTATTCCAGGCGTGACATACTAGATTCATACGACCAGGCTTATAAAACTACCACTGTTCTTTTTTATCAATTAACGTGATGGGATAGATGGTTACCAAACTACTTAATTGATTATATTAATGTATTCGTAACTAATGGAATTATGTTTGATGGATCAACAGTTTTTTCTCCATTTGAAGCTGTTATGTTCGTCTGATTCACCTGTGCCCGTGTGGATTATGGAGCAAACGTCGTTCATTGGAATTTGATGAAAGCAACAAAAGTAAAATCGAAATATATTTGGAAATAAAATAGAGAGACATTTGGAAATAAAATCGAAAGACATTTTGAAATAAAATCGAAGACATTTTGAAATAAAATCGAAAGACATTTTGAAATAAAATCGAAAGACATTTTGACATAAAATCGACTGAATAAAATAGAAGGATATTTGGAAACAAAATCGAGAGATATTTCGAATCAAAGTCGAAAATTATTTGAAATACAAAGGCTTTTAAAGGCCTGTCTATTTTAGAAATATCAAATATGTCTGAGAAAAATGTCGAGCCCCATGATGCATCTGTGAAAGATTTAACCCAGGGCTTTGCCGACGCAACATCTCTACACGGACTACCTAGGGTAAATATTTTCAATAAAACTGGTCTGATTTCTAATTGTCCAAAACATCGTGAAAATATTATAATATTCTTGAAGTTAGTTTGCCACACAGATATTAAAGAAATTAAATTGATATCACGCTTAGGCCATAAGAAGTAGATTCTTTGTTTTGCGTCCTGGCAAAATCCAAATCATGCAAGGGTACAAGGAAAACAAACACAAACTCAAGAAAAAACACAAACTTGTTTGCTGAGAAATGTATACATTTTATGGGCATAAAAAGGGATGGCATACCAATTTGCAGTGATTACAAACACATATCTATACATTTTATACAATATATTTATTATTCAAGGGTAAAAAATAAGAAATTACACAATGTATGCCAAACTAATTAATAATAACACTGTCAATTTTGACGCATGTCAAATTATCCGCCATTTCGTCAGATTCTGATTGAACGAAATGTGATGGTACTTTCAGACCCTTGTAATTACTATTAGAATGTGTTACTGTATACTTGTAGTATAAAAGCTATTTCACATAATTCTGGGCCCAATTTTTGAGGTCACCAAATACTGCAAGAAATAACGAGAATGGTGGAACTGGCGTTTTTCAACTGTTTCGTAGGTCCACACGAACTAGGATTCCCAGTTGATATATCTTCCTCTTTCAGGTATATTCCAGCAAATCGTTGACGAGAAAGATTATTTGGGGGCTAGTTTTCTTTGGTTGTTTCGTAGGATTCTGTTGGCAGGTAACCGCACTGACACTCAACTACTTCGAATATCCAATCAGTGTCACAACTGAAGTGAAAACACGGTAAGACTGAATTCACTATTATTATACTTAGAGGAGAATGAACATATAGAGGACATAAATAATAAGATATAATGAATGATATTGTCACGCCTCGTGATCGAAAGATTTTAATACTTTTGAATTTCAAAGGAGGGGGAAAGTATCGCAACAGATTTCGGACAGTCATATGTTGGATTTTGGCTATTTTTGAGGATTTAAACAGGTGCCAATGCATTATCTCTAAGAAAAGCACTCACAGAGATTTAAAAATAATTTCGAGACAGGGGAGATGCAAACAACCCACCCACATGTTTTTTTCTGAAATGTTATCCAGGCCTGATTTTCAACCCCTTCCACACCTGCTTTTCAATTTTTGTTGCATCAACAAGTTGCGTTTTAAGACATGCGATCCATTGCTTTCAGCGAACTTTGGTCACCCATAATGGATCTCTTTAAAGCCCCTGAAGGAATTACTTAAAAAATATATTTCATGAATGCAAAAATTAATACCATGGATACCATGTTATTTCCTAATTCCCATTCAAATATTATTTCGAAAACATGTTTTTTTGATTTGCTCCATCAATTAGATTAATACATTTTCATTGAAATGTACAGCAGAACTTAATGTAATTCAACTTTAGGTTGAAGGTGGACTTCCCTGCAGTCACAGTTTGCAACATGAACATGCTGAAGAAAAGTCTTCTGATGGGAACACGGTTTGAGAATCTCACCAAAGTAGACAAGAGACTCTCAGATATATACGGGACTAGTGCAACTTCCAACTCACAAACAACTCCCCCTGCTGAAATGCCTCAAGATCCCGAAAATGAAGATCCCCTTTCTGGTGCAGGTATGCAGCTTCACAGTGATTTAATATAAAAAGTTGTATTTTAATATAGTTGTATTTTGTTTATTCACCATTTTAGTGTGATTTACAAAGTCACTGCTAAGTTACATAAAGATTAACGTTAAAGTATAATACCTTGTGTGTGACACAAACAGTAACAAGTAGCCTATTACAAAAGTTAAGTAAAAATTAGCATCATTCTATTTTTAAGTTTCATTTAATGTTCAGATTTCATCGCTTAGTAGATTCACTTGCAATCACTATTACAATTTTCTTGTTTATGTGCTGTGATTGTTTGGCCTCTTTTTCAATCGGTGTTTAAAACACATTGTTACCTTTTTACTATTGTTAACATATCAGGTGGTGATATTTCATTTTGTTAATGGCTTGTTTTACTATCGCAGACTTTAATGAAGGATCCACAACAGAAATGGACACAGAAGATGATGGTACATCTACTATTGAAGCTGAAGATACAACTGATGGCATAACGTATGTTACAACTGAGGATCCCTATGATGAAACAATAGATACGACGCAAGAAGACATAGCCACAGAATTCATTACCACTGAAGCGTCTGCAGGTGATGCAACCACAGATTATGATTACCTAACAACCGAAACCTCACGGAAGAAAAGATCAGTAGGCAAAAGACGGCCCAAGGAAAATGAACACAAGCTCCCCGAACAACTACACAAACAAATGAAGCCATTGGATGGAAGCGCACATAAGCACGCACATCCATATTCCAATAATGCTAAAGGTGAATCAAGGAGAAGGAAACGACAAGCGGATAGTTATTATGATGACAACTATGAAGACGATGGGGATGAGTATGATTCTGATCCCTATGATGATTATTATGACAATTATTATGACAATGGCGATGATTATTACCCAGAGGAAAGATTTGAATTTGAAGACACTGGATTTTCGGAAATTGGTATGTGTTCATGATATCTATGACACCGCTTGGAAATAGTGGCAAATTGTTTTAGGTATTATTTTTGTGACCGATGTTGGTGTTTGGAGTCTTGAACCAACTCTAATCAAGTGGTGACATTTTGTCACATTAATACCTTACTTCACATTAAAATGTTTTTTTTCCCGTCTGCTGGTATTTAAATTTTAAAAGTATGTAAATGGCTTTACGTTGTTGTCCCACTGTGCTTACCTTAAAATAACGTTCATTTACTTTCTTTCAGAACCTAATGATTACTTCGGCTTCCTGCAGAATTCTCAGACTCAAGATCTAAGTGACCTTGTGGGTATCGTCGTCCCAACAACAGATGAGATGGACAGCTATGGACACACTTTTGAGGACTTTGTTCTTCAGTGCAGCTTTGATAAGAAAAATTGTAGTAATAGGTACGTGGGCCACTTCATGTTAGTCACTGTATATGGGTCACTGTTTGTGTGTCAATGTATGTGTGTCATTGTATGTGGGCCTCTATATATGGGCCACTTCATGTTAGTCACTGTATATGGGTCACTGTTTATGTGTCAATATATGGCATTGTATGTGCATCATTGTATGTGGGTCTCTATATATGGGTTATTGCATGTGGTTTACTGTATGTGAATGACTGGGTCATTGTATGTGTGTCGCTGTATGTATGTCATAGCATTAGGCTCACTGTTTGTGGATCACTATATGTCGTTGTATGGGGGTCACTGACTGGGTCCATGTACGTGTGGCATTGTATGTGTGTCGCTGTATGTCATAGCATTAGGCTCACTGTTTGTGGATCACTGTATGTATATGTCGTTGTATGGGGGTCACTGACTGGGTCCATGTACGTGTGGCATTGTATGTGTGTCGCTGTATGTATGTCATAGCATTAGGCTCACTGTTTGTGGGTCACTGTATGTATATCATTGTATAGGGGATCTGTGTATGTAGGTCAATGTATGTATGTATCTGTATGTTGGTCACTGTATGTGAGTTACTAATTGAAATTTCTATTTATTAATAGAGAGTAAACTGTTACTACTACTTGTAGATTATTCAGCTTGCAGGGAAACAAGCAATTAATTGATTCTGTTAATATTTTATCACTGTGTACACTTTGGTGAATGTAATAATATGTTATTGATATGACAGACAGATATGACTTCAGAGTTATTATTGATGCAAACATTCGATTAACGTGAGCATAATGGATTATTGTATCACTCTCAGGAGAATGTAAACACTTTGAAATATTAATAGAAGTGCCAAAAGAGGAAAAATTACCTTGCAAAAATTGCAGAACCAGAAAACAAAACTCCATTGTATGACATCCCTCCACCACTTTGGCATTTCATTTGTACGCTCTCTCACGATTATACCCTATATAAAGGGTGTTTATGCAAAGTAAGAGAGATTTCGCAACTCCCATAGCACGTTTATTATCTCCGTTTGATTACGTCATCATTTATTGCGCAGCTCTATACGTCAATAAGTGTGATATTCTTATAAATCGTCGTCTATACGTACGAATATCACACTTATAGACGTATGTCATATGCTATATATGAAGAAGTATGTACGATTTTAGATATGCATTTTACTGTACTTAAATAGAGTAACTAAGGTCAAACTTTTGTGCTTCACCTTTGACTACAATCGTAAAACTGTGTCATTTAGTTATTTTTGAATTCATCGAGCTAGTTTATTGATAATTACATTAATTGACTTCTTCTTTGGTGATGTAAAGTTGCAAACTAGACAATAAGTTATTCCATTGCCGAAAAAAGCCTCGTTACCAAATGTTCCTTTTATACTGTTATGACTACCCAAGAAGAAGTGAGTAGTTTCCATAATACCATCATAGTCTATCGTATTCGGGGATTCCCCTTAGCCATCCCTACAAGCCTAATATGGATCTATCACGATATTCAAAATGGCGGACAACGGTCAGTTGGATTAATCCTTTATAGTCAATGAGTACAAAATAGTTGGAATTAATTAAAATTCTCTGGTCGTTCGTTACAATGTATATGAATGTGTAAGTGCCAATGGAAAGTACCAAGAATCGTCACAGAAAACAGCAAGAAAAATGTATTGTATTGTATGTAAAATGGGCGAATTTACTGAAAATGTCCCAGCCGGTCGTTCAGTAGCAATGTACTATCAATATGCTGCTTATAAGTGATATGTGACATGAATATCATTCAGCTTTTTATATTGTAATAAAAAGTTACCATTATATATTTTTAGGACTACCAAGGTTATTTCGTACTCTTGCATTTTGTAATTTCCCTGTAGTGTTTCTCTCTGTTTCCTTCTTTGGTTATTTTTCATAATACATTTAATCTATGTTAGTTTGCTCATTTAGTCGATTTTAGTGGGAAAATTTAATTGAGAATTGCTTCATGTTCAAAATAAACATTCCTGCTTTTTTCACACTTGTTAAGACTATAACCATAAAGTCCAATTTATAGATTTTTTGAAATATGGCAGTGACATACTATCCCTAGCACAAAATAATGAACTTTTTGCTCTTGTTGCCAACTTTTCGATAAAGAACACATAACATTATAGTTATATTTCTCTATGGGACCCTCCATGCAAGTATTACCTATTCCCACTACTCCCTCACTGAGACCATGACACATGAACCCAAGCCTGTCCAATTTCCCACCTTTTTACATATCTTGCCCTTATGCTTCCCTGTTGCATACATTTACATTTGTACTTAATATGTTGTTCAGCTTAGCCTATAATGCCAGTAAGGCGATTGGCAAGCTACTATGTATGAAAATATTTATATGATGAAATAAATGGTTAATCTATAAAAAACAAAAAACATCCCTGCGATTCTTTCGAGTTCAGGTTCTGTTTTGTTCTCAGGGGCATCGACATGACCTTTATATCCTAATTTTTCTGTACTTTATCCTGTATATTTCAGCGACTGGAAGAAATTGTATAATAGTCAATATGGCAATTGTTATACGTGGAATTTTGGATATAATAACACCATAAAGTCAACAAGCAGATTCGGATCACGATATGGTAATTATGATTTTCGCTATTTAATATGTTCATGCGGTATCCGTCAATCGTATAATTACTAACGTCATCATACCATTATATTTTTGATTTGACATTCGGTTGTATGGGTATTTTATGCGAAAAAGCAAAGACACGTTTGATTTGTCCTACAGTGACTCCTTAGCACGTGCGTGAGCCATTGTCGATTCATCTTGATAGTAACGACGGCGACGTATTGAGGCTTGCAGGATCTGTCATTTGTGGGGGTTTTCACATAAACTTACCCCACACAGTCATTCTATACTAACAAACAGACAAATTATGAGTCAAAATGGGGTCAAAAACACAACACAATCTTCACAGATATTTTTTGTCCATCTACCAGACAAATCATTAGGAATTTGTTATTACCAATTTTACACTACCCCCTTGGCCACGTGATGGTGTTAGCCCCAAAACGTCAACAATTTTTCATAGTGTGTCTAAAATACTTATGAGCCATGTCATAACGTCTTTTTCGTTAGTGCTGACATTTTTTAGGACCCTCATATCCTCATTTCATTAACTTTGAGATCTAACATTTGCCACGTTTGTTGTTTTGTGCTTTATAATGTTGCCATTTGTGATAATCAATAGGATTGAGACTGACACTGAATGCCCAGGCGGATGAATACATAGGATTACTTTCACACACTGTGGGTGCACGGGTGACTGTTCACTCCCATAACGTCATGCCTTTTCCCGAAGACCAGGGCGTAAGTGCGTCAGTTGGTAGAAAGACGGGCATCGGCGTACAGATGGTAACATTTTACATAGTCTTCTTCGAATATTTCAGTCAATTAGTTCGATATAATGAATATCCTGTATATCTTATAACTATAACTGTACTATACCATGTCATTTGAACACTTACTACATTCTTCTTCATAAGTTTGCATTTGATCAGCATATGAAAGCCTGCCAATGTTTAAATTTTAAAAACAAAACGTTTGGATTCTTTACGTGTAATAGGGACCGTCCCATGATTTATTTTGAAAATATCTATATTAGCAAAACATCAAACGCAAACCCTATCCCTTCCCTACAATTTGGGACCGTCTCATAAATTAATTTGAACATATCTATTTCAGCAAAACATCAAACGCAAACCTTATCCTTTCCCTACAATTCGGGACCGTCTCATAAATTAATTTGAACATATCTATTTCAGCAAAACATCAAAGGCAAACCCTATCATTTCCCTACAAATTGGGACCGTCTCATAATCTAATTTGAACATATCTATTTCAGCAAAACATCAAACGCAAACCCCATCCTTTCCCTACAAACTGTACATATGGGACACATTTACAATCAAACTACGAGGGCGACTACTCCGTTTTGGTAAATATTATATTATATATTATTATAAATTATAGATTCAATTAAAAAGTGTCTTTTGACTTTTGAGGGCATAATTTAAGCCCTTATAAAGCTTGTATGAAATGAGCATGCTGTATACTTTTAAGGTGTGTATTGACGCATATACAATGTTTTTGTCATTGCTTAAGCCATGTGTATTGACGTATATATCAAATGTTTTTCTAATTGTTTAAGACATTGGTATTGACTTATTTGTTTTCAGTCCTGTATGATGTCCTGCCTCCAGAATAAGATCAAAACTAATTGTAAATGCGTTGACAAGATCGTACACAATCAAACAGCATGTGACATCACAAACACAACTCAGGGTAAATATATACATATGTACAGGCTAGACCATTACATAAATCAATATAATATAATTGTATAGACCATTAGAAAGATATATAGATGTGTAATTCAACACACATACATTGTAGATACAGTATTTGTATGTATTTTAGAGAAATGTAGACAAAGGATGTACCATTTGATTATATTGTAGAGAAATGTAGACAAAGGATGAACCATTTGTTTGTATTTTAGAAAAATGTAGACAACCATTTGATTATATTGTAGAGAAATGTAGACAAAGGATGTACCATTTGTTTGTATTTTAGAAAAATGTAGACAAAGGATGTACCATTTGATTATATTGTAGAGAAATGTAGACAAAGGATGTACCATTTGTTTGTATTTTAGAAAAATGTAGACAAAGGATGTACCATTTGATTATATTGTAGAGAAATGTAGACAAAGGATGTACCATTTGTTTGTATTTTAGAGAAATGTAGACAAAGGATGTACCATTTGATTATGTTGTAGAGAAATGTAGACAAAGGATGTACCATTTGTTTGTATTTTAGAGAAATGTAGACAAAGGATGTACCATTTGATTATGTTGTAGAGAAATGTAGACAAAGGATGTACCATTTGATTATGTTGTAGAGAAATGTAGACAAAGGATATACCATTTGATTATGTTGTAGAGAAATGTAGACAAAGGATGTACCATTTGATTATGTTGTAGAGAAATGTAGACAAAGGATGTACCATTTGATTATGTTGTAGAGAAATGTAGACAAAGGATATACCATTTGATTATGTTGTAGAGAAATGTAGACAAAGGATGTACCATTTGATTATGTTGTAGAGAAATGTAGACAAAGGATGTACCATTTGATTATGTTGTAGAGAAATGTAGACAAAGGATGTACCATTTGTTTGATGAGGCAAAACTGGGGTGCGATTGCCCACAAGCGTGTGAGTAAGTCACCTTTTTTATCATCGATGCATAATTTAGACTGGCAGGAATAAAGGTAAATTATTGATACCAGCGAAGAGCAAATAACAAATATTCTCTATTGTTGAATTTCCAGACGGAAGATATTTTTAACTCACCGTTCAATGACTAATGTGTGCACTATTAACGAATTTAGAGTATCCAGGTGTTATACATGTAGGTTATTGTTGACAAATCTAAAAACGATTACTTGATTTCACATACAGCTTTTTCCATTTTAAGTATACGTGTAATAAAGTTTGATATGATTTCTTTAAACGTCCTATGATTTAATAAAGCATTTTAAAACCAAACAAAACAGACCGTTTACGTTTTGATCGATGGAGCCAGTCGCATGAGTTCAAGTAATTGAAATATTTTTAGAGAGTTAGTGTACGGTACAACAATCTCAGGGTCAGAGTGGCCAAGTAATCAATACAGTCCATATCTACTGCAGAAACTGGAAGGCGGATCACCAGTCAGTGATATCAAGTAAGTGTTGAGCCCTACCCGACCACAAATCCTGCCTTTTAACTCACACAAACACCGGGTGATTTAAATACATGTATGTGATTTCAAGAAAAAACTTAGTTCAATTCAATGTCAATTCAATTTGTTCAAAATTCCATCATACAATATTTCATATATAACATGAAAAAGACACTTGAAGGGGCGTATATATTCCATGGGTCATATTTTTAGTTGACTTTAAATTTCCTATCTATTCATTCCATTGAGTAAAATGCAATTTCTTTATTTTGGATTTCCTGTTTCGTTAATTATTTGAGTCATTTCCCGTATTGCTTTCATAAAATCGTACGTACTCACTTTTATGGAATAACAATTATGACCATTTTCCATATAAATGGAAAAAGATGGCATCATGGGTGTTGGTAGGGCTAGAAATGCCTAGAACACATGCCTAGATCACATAATGTCATGATCTAACAAGTAATTCCATTTGGATCAACTTAAAACACCATTGGAATGTAACTATATGATATTACTGACACGTGGATTGTGATTTCACATTACAAGAGTACAAGAGTAAATGAACTTTTAAAGGTTTTTCAACATGTTAGCAATGGGGATTAAGCCCGACCTTTTTTAGACAACTAGAAAATATTTATAAGAATTTGAATAAAGGTAAATAACGGTGAGAATCAAAGTTGTTTCGATAGAAAATTACACAGAGAATTCAAATATGCCATCAGATAGAAGAAAATGTTAGTCTTCAATTGTTATAAATGCAGATCTCCTAAAATCTCATTAAAACGAGACTTAAACGAGATTTCAAAGGCATATGGAAAAGGACCTTTGACTTGCTTATTTAGTAAAAATCGACCATGAACTTGCACTTAGGGTGATTATGCATGAGAGAGGAGGATAAACGCACGGAAAATTTAACGATAGTCGAAGATTCTATGCGAGTACAACATTGATTCCTATGAACACTCCTATTACACATAAAGATTTATTCCACGATTTGAAAAAATATTCCAAAATAGAGAGGTGCATTTATCGAAGTACCCCGAACAACAAATGGCTGGCCAATCGGGTGCCAAATATTCTAGTAAAGTAAACAAATACGTATTCTATGTATTTATAGATGTCGTTAATGATGTTTTTCAGCTGCTACACTCAGAATGTCGATTTGCAATAAGAACGACAATCAATTTGAATGAATCAATTGGTTCATTCATATTGATCAATCTCCATTTTATTTTCATTTGATGTTATTGCAGACAAAACCTAGTCCGAGTACATGTGTACTTTGAGACCCTCGCCGTCCACACCATCGAGGAAGTCCCTAGTTATACTGTAAGTACTTCCCATAACAATCGCATATTTTGGTGGCTTTTGGAGTTCTTCTTTTATCCAATTACTGGAACTGCATTTTTATTTATTAAATTCAAAATTTTTGTCTCCAATTTTTTTTGTGGATCGTGTCTGGCAGATAGCGTTTGACGGTCGGGGGTGGGCATCAACAAATGGCAGGTGCTGACATTTTGCACGTTAATGCCTTGTTGTTATATATATATTGGGACAATATTTTATCGTTAGGGTCCATCGTTAGGATTTTTACTTATTTCAGTCATTGATTTCCGACCTAATGAAATAGGAACACGATTGAGATTCAAGTTAACAGGCTCTCAAGGCTCAACATACGTCCAAAACTTAAAATCTTACTTTAATATTGAGATTAAAACTGTGTCCATTTATGGATCTTAATTTGGTTTCTTTATTACAATAGTTTGTAAAATGAGAAATTGGATGGCTTCTTTGCCATTCTGATGGAGTTGAGTGTTATGCCCCATTTTTCTGTTACAGTGGGACAACTTGCTAGCCGACATTGGTGGAACGATGGGAATGTTCATAGGTATATCTATATGTACTGCCTTTGAGATCGTCGAACTCTTAATGGAGATTGGGAAACTTGTTGTCGGTAAAATGACCAACAAAAATAAAGTGACATCATTAAAATGACCAACAAAAATAAAGTGATTTCATTAAAATGACCAACAAAAATAAAGTGATATCATTAAAATGACGAACAAGAATAAAGTGATTTCATTAAAATGACCAACAAAAATAAAGTGATATCATTAAAATGACGAACAAGAATAAAGTGATATCATTAAAATGGCGGACAAGAATAAAGTGATTTCATTAAAATGACCAACAAAAATAAAGTGATATCATTAAAATGACGAACAAGAATAAAGTGATTTCATTAAAATGACCAACAAAAATAAAGTGATATCATTAAAGTGATTTCATTAAAATGACGGACAAGAATAAAGTGATATCATTAAAATTACGAACAAGAATAAATGATATAATTAAAATGACCAACAAAAATAAAGTGATATCATTAAAATGACGAACAAGAATGAAGTGATATCATTAAAATGACGAACAGAATGAAGTGATACCATTGAAGTGACGAAGAGGATTAAAGTGATACCATTAAAATGATGAACATAATTAAAGTGATTCCATTAAAATGTTGAACAGGAATAAAGTGATTCCATTAAAATGTCGAATTAAACTATCATAGCGATGTGATATCATTCGGGAGCAATTTTAACTATTACAAGGAGGGCGGTTACATTCCTGCATTAATCTGAAATAATACATCCCTGAAATCTTGGTGTATTCCTTCAGTCCTATAAAGTACCTTGATGGACCGTGGTTAAAACGATCATTTGGAGGTTAAGCTTAATCTTCTGAAGCGAACGTGCCACGTGGACGTGTGGACGTGTGATATCATGAGCCCAGGGAGCCACTCTCGAAGTTTTTCAAGTGACCTTATTCAAGGTTTTTTCCTTATGCTTTTATAGTTAACTCGGTATTCAAATAGTATTTCGAAGTGGAGAGCTTTCCCTAGAAATCTATAAATCTACACACTCACGTAAAAATTTTCTTGAGCTTAATCCCACTTTTAAAAGACGAACAAAGACGTGACGTGGGGAATATTTGAGATTATAGGAGTTATTTGTGGACTTGGTGCTACAGCTCGTGAGAAAAGAATTACTGCACGACGATGTCTCTAATAAATAACTTGCAGAAAAAAGATTACCTTTGTGACGTGTAGAAATGTACACTAGCAAACGACGAGGGACCAATCTAACATTTGGAAATATACAATAACAAATGACGAGGGACCAATTTATCATTTGGAAATATACAATAGCAAACGAAGAGGAACCAATTTATTATTGCAGATGATATCCTATCTTTGAAAATCCGACTGAGGGTATCAAATAAAATTGTAAAGCATGTTTTAAAAGTCTTTCTAGACGTTTTACCAATCATCAAGGCAAGCGCATAGTAAATACCTGCATTTGTAAATACTGAAATCTGTCTTAATATTTTAAAAACTATATATGTCGGCAGAAGCGTACGGTACTGAACTACTCGACAGAGTCGGTAAATATCATTGAAAACATCCACTTTATGTCTGAAAATACTTTTTATTTTGGATAAAAATAAATGACAATGTTTAATTTTGATTTCGTGAAAAAGTCTTGTGTCATTCAGCTATTGTCGAGAAATCTTAATTTCACTAATTCCTTTGCACAATGCCCTTATTAGACTCCAGATTGAAAATCTGGAGTCTATTGTTTTTGCCTGTTTTCTTATTATTCTTTTTCTTCTTCTTCTTCTTCTTCTTCTTCTTCTTCTTCTTCTTCTTCTTCTTCTTCTTCTTCTTCTTCTTCTTTCTTCCTCCTAACAGATTTTCTCTCCAACTATAACATCTTACTTCATCCAACCTACATGGTTGACTAGGGAATGTATCTAGCTTTCTGGGAAATTAGGTCAAATTTTTATCTAGGTCAAAGGTCAAGAACTAGGTCACGTCCTACATTTTCAACATTCTGACATTTATCTTCCTACATCTTTCATCTAACTCCTTCATCTTACTTTCATTATGTAGCTTAGAAAAAGCCCTTTCATGAGTGTGCCATCAGATTTTTGATTACTCTTACCGATTTTGAGATATGGCGTCCGGAAAGTAGGTCAGAACAAAAAGTTCTCCAAATTCAACATGTGAGTTATGAAATAAGTGTAGAATGATCTCAGGAATCCGAAACTGCAAACCAAATTTGGATCGGACTTCCGGTTCGGAAGTTATGGCGTTTTGAAAGCTCAAAAATCGCCAAATTTGGTGCCTATGTTAAGTCAATGGGAAAAAAGACTTTTTCGAAGTGTAAAATACAAGATATAGACTGAGTACAGCTTAACATAATGAATGCTTATAAAAGAAGGGGACCTCAAAAGCTACAGTAGCTTCAAAATTTGGACACCAAAATGCCTAGGTCAAAATCTAGGTCAAATTCATAGTTTTTCCTTATATTTACGATTCTGACACTACACTTTAATAATTTACTTCAAAATTTTGTATACAGGTAGCAAAGAGTGTGCTAATAGTGTTAGCCTTTTGCCGTCAGAAAGTATTTTGACCAACTTTTGAGATATGGTGTCCGAAAAGTAGGTCAAAAAAAAAAGTTCTCCAAATTTAACATATGAGCTATGAATTTAGGGTAGAATTTTCCCAGGAATACGAATCTGCAAACCAAATTTCAATCCGATTCTCAGTTCCGAAGTTATGGCGTTTTGAAAGCTCAAAAATCGCTAAATTTGGTGCTTCGTGTTATGTCAATGAGAAAAAATATTTTTTTGAAGTGTAAAATAGCAGATATAAACTGAGAACAGCTTAACATTCTGAAAGCCTATAAAAGAAGGGGACCTCGAAGGCTATCTAGCTTTAAAATTTGGACACCAAAATGCCTAGGTCAAAATCTAGGTCAAATTCATAGTTTTTCCTTATTTTTGCGAATCTGACATTACACTTTAATGATTTGCTTCGAAATTTTGTATACAGGTAGCAAAGAGTGTGCTTATAGTGTTAGCCTTCTGCCGTCATAAAGTATTTGACCCACTTTTGAGATATGTAGTCTGAAAAGTAGGTCAAAATAAAAAGTTCTCCAAATTTAATGTATGAGTTATGAATTAAGGGTACAATTTTCTCAGGAATCAGAATCTTTAAACCAAATTTCGATCCAACTTCTGATTAGATAGTTATAGCGGTTTGAAGTCTCGAAAAGTCAATATGATGATCGATATCCCCATGTTAAGCCAATGGAGTCGAAGATAACATTCTTAAGAGTTGTCTAAATGTCTATATTCTAGCTGACTCAGCTTATGCTGAATGACTCAGCTTACAAGTATTTAGATGACTCAGCTTAAAAAAAGTCTGAAATCTGGAGTCTTAAATTGAACTTGTTCAATTTACATGTCTAGTTATTCTTCTTTTTTCTTTCTTTCTTTCTTTCTTTCTTCCTCCTAACAGATTTTCTCTCCAACTATAACATCTTACTTAATCCAACCTACATGGTTGACAAGGGAATGTATCTGGCTTTCTGGGAAATTAGGTCAAATTTTTTATCTAGGTCATAGGTCAAGAACTAGGTCAAATCTTGGATTTTCACTAATTCACCACTTTTCTCAGTCGTCTTTCAATATTTTCGCTCCAATTTTTTTTCATCATGTTCCTTGGAAAAAACGCTAATTCCGAAAGGCAAATCGTTTTTTGATTACTCTTACCGATTTTGAGATATTGCGTCCGAAAAGTAGGTCAGAACAAAAAGTTCTCCCAATTCAACATGTGAGTTATGAAATAAGTGTAGAATAATCTCAGGAATCCGAATCTGCAAACCAAATTTGGATCAGACTTCTGGTTCGGAAGTTATGGCGTTTTGAAAGCTCAAAAATCGCTAAATTTGGTGCCTATGTTAAGTCAATGGGAAAAAAGACTTTTTCGAAGTGTAAAATACAAGGTATAGACTGAGTACAGCTTAACATAATGAATGCTTATAAAACAAGGGGACCTCAAAAGCTACATAGCTTCAAAATTTGGACACCAAAATGCCTAGGTCAAAATCTAGGTCAAATTCATAGTTTTTCTTTATTTTTACGATTCTGACACTACACTTCAATAATTTACTTAAAAATTTTGTATACAGGTAGCAAAGAGTGTGCTAATAGTGTTAGCTTTTTGCCGTCAGAAAGTATTTTGACCCACTTTTGAGATATGGTGTCCGAAAAGTAGGTCAAAATAAAAAGTTCTCCAAATTTAACATATGAGCTATGAATTTAGGGTAGAATTTTCCCAGGAATACGAATCTGCAAACCAAATTTCAATCCGATTCTCAGTTCCGAAGTTATGGCGTTTTGAAAGCTCAAAAATCGCTAAATTTGGTGCTTCGTGTTATGTCAATGAGAAAAAATATTTTTTTGAAGTGTAAAATAGCAGATATAAACTGAGAACAGCTTAACATTCTGAAAGCCTATAAAAGAAGGGGACCTCGAAGGCTATCTAGCTTTAAAATTTGGACACCAAAATGCCTAGGTCAAAATCTAGGTCAAATTCATAGTTTTTCCTTATTTTTGCGAATCTGACATTACACTTTAATGATTTGCTTCGAAATTTTGTATACAGGTAGCAAAGAGTGTGCTTATAGTGTTAGCCTTCTGCCGTCATAAAGTATTTGACCCACTTTTGAGATATGTAGTCTGAAAAGTAGGTCAAAATAAAAAGTTCTCCAAATTTAATGTATGAGTTATGAATTAAGGGTACAATTTTCTCAGGAATCAGAATCTTTAAACCAAATTTCGATCCAACTTCTGATTAGATAGTTATAGCGGTTTGAAGTCTCGAAAAGTCAATATGATGATCGATATCCCCATGTTAAGCCAATGGAGTCGAAGATAACATTCTTAAGAGTTGTCTAAATGTCTATATTCTAGCTGACTCAGCTTATGCTGAATGACTCAGCTTACAAGTATTTAGATGACTCAGCTTAAAAAAAGTCTGAAATCTGGAGTCTTAAATTGAACTTGTTCAATTTACATGTCTAGTTATTCTTCTTTTTTCTTTCTTTCTTTCTTTCTTTCTTCCTCCTAACAGATTTTCTCTCCAACTATAACATCTTACTTAATCCAACCTACATGGTTGACAAGGGAATGTATCTGGCTTTCTGGGAAATTAGGTCAAATTTTTTATCTAGGTCATAGGTCAAGAACTAGGTCAAATCTTGGATTTTCACTAATTCACCACTTTTCTCAGTCGTCTTTCAATATTTTCGCTCCAATTTTTTTTCATCATGTTCCTTGGAAAAAACGCTAATTCCGAAAGGCAAATCGTTTTTTGATTACTCTTACCGATTTTGAGATATTGCGTCCGAAAAGTAGGTCAGAACAAAAAGTTCTCCCAATTCAACATGTGAGTTATGAAATAAGTGTAGAATAATCTCAGGAATCCGAATCTGCAAACCAAATTTGGATCAGACTTCTGGTTCGGAAGTTATGGCGTTTTGAAAGCTCAAAAATCGCTAAATTTGGTGCCTATGTTAAGTCAATGGGAAAAAAGACTTTTTCGAAGTGTAAAATACAAGGTATAGACTGAGTACAGCTTAACATAATGAATGCTTATAAAACAAGGGGACCTCAAAAGCTACATAGCTTCAAAATTTGGACACCAAAATGCCTAGGTCAAAATCTAGGTCAAATTCATAGTTTTTCTTTATTTTTACGATTCTGACACTACACTTCAATAATTTACTTAAAAATTTTGTATACAGGTAGCAAAGAGTGTGCTAATAGTGTTAGCTTTTTGCCGTCAGAAAGTATTTTGACCCACTTTTGAGATATGGTGTCCGAAAAGTAGGTCAAAATAAAAAGTTCTCCAAATTTAACATATGAGCTATGAATTAAGGGTAGAATTTTTCCAGGAATCCGAATCTGCAAACCAAATTTCAATCATACTTTCGGTTCGGAAGTTATGGCATTTTGAAAGCTCAAAAATCGCTTAATTTGGTGCCCCATGTTATGTCAATGAGAAAAAAGATTTTTTTGAAGTGTAAAATACCATATATAAACTGAGTACAGCTTAACATTCTGGAAGCCTATAAAAGAAGGGGACCTCGAAGGCTATCTAGCTTTAAAATTTGGACACCAAAATGCCTAGGTCAAAATCTATGTCAAATTCATAGTTTTTCCTTATTTTTGCGATTCTGACATTACACTTTAATGATTTGCTTCGAAATTTTGTATACAGGTAGCAAAGAGTGTGCTTATAGTGTTAGCCTTCTGCCGTCAGAAAGTATTTTGACCCACTTTTGAGATATGGTGTCTGAAAAGTAGGTCAAAATAAAAAATTCTCCAAATATAACGTATGAGTTATGAATTAAGGGTAGAATTTTCTCAGGAATCAGAATCTTTAAACCAAATTTCGATCCAACTTCTGATAAGATAGTTATAGCGGTTTGAAGTCTCGAAAAGTCGATATGATGATATCCCCATGTTAAGCCAATGGAGTCAATGATAACATTCTTAAGAGTTGTCTAAATGTCTATATTCTAGCTGACTCAGCTTATTCTGAATGACTCAGCTTACAAGTATTTGGATGACTCAGCTTAAATAAAGTCTGAAATCTGGAGTCTTAAATTGAACTTGTTCAATTTACATGTCTAGTTATGCTTGCAGATTAGACGTTAAGTCTGAAATAAGACATTATGTCTTCATTGATCAGTATCACGAGAAGGCAACGTCCGTTACCTGGTTACCTTCTATTTCAAAATGGCGGACGGTAAATGTCCTTCAATACCATTCGAGTTCCTTTCACAATTTACTGGGATTTTGGAATGCCAACACAGGCCTTTAATGGGAGAGTACATTATTTTTTAGGTTTGTCCGTATGCTCAGAAATCACCCCTTCCTAATTGTGAGTCTTTAATTATTTTCAGGTACATACAACTCTTCCATACATGCTCTACATCTTTCAGTTTTTGGCAATCACGATAGATGAATACCTTGTTTAAGTTGATGTATATGTACACCTAGATGTGAAACTGGGCTCCAATTAGGAAGTCATTACAAGTTTCCGAACATAGGGGACTAATTTAAATGACAGAATACCACATACATGTATACTAAAGAGCCGTCATTTAGATTACACAACACAGTTATTGTAAGATAAAATGATGTCTCAGAGTCCCTAGCCATTGGACTTTGCACAAACAACATAAAATGCATAATTAACACAAAATTTCATAAGTGGAGGTCAGATTTTATTGTTCAATGTTATTGCACTATTGTTAGGAGATACAGTGTTCCAAAACATGTAAAATTCAAACAGGTTTACATTTTTTCAGATATCGGTACCACAATTTTGCATCCAAAAGTTGTTAGGTTAATAGGAATATACTGTCAAGATTCTCGTTTTAAAACATAGTTTTCCAATGTCCTCAGTTGAGTAAGCTCAAAACCTGCTTTATCCTTTGCGTTTCCTTCCTGTGTGTGCGTGCGCAACTGCTTCCAGCGCAGACGACATCTCATTCCACAATATTCCGCATTTTAGACAGGCCCCACATTCCTATTTAAAAGTTGGAATATTGGCATCGCTGGAAATGTCCGTTTGATGCTTTGCAAAAGAGGGCATCAGAAAGTTTCAAATCTCACTCTCGCGATAGTTCATGAAAACGAGATTTGTATAATCAGGACTGATAAATATTCAAACACAAACTATAATAGAAAAACACTACTGGATATTATAAACGCATATTACAACTAATTCAATCCAGAATGGAATAGAAAAGAATAATGTACAGTAATGACTCAAGAATTGATGGCCGTTTTCCGTCAGTCAATATCCACGTGTGAAAATATTCTCATAATTTCAGGAGGATGAAATTCACTGTTCAGTCCTAATGTACTCTACATTCTATTTCAGCAGCACTTTACTAGTGTGTTATGCAAATACAACCAAGAATATTTAGCCGTCCTGAATACTGAGTTACCCAAATACACATCATATCGTCATAGTGGTGCTTGCGGCAGGTCTTTAATGCGCATGCGCATTTAGTTGGCCTCTGGTGGGCCAGCCATGACTTTTTTGATAAATTCCTCGTATTTGACGTTGCCTTCCAAATCTTCACGTAGGTCGACGCACTTTATTATGATATCTACCTCGTCGTCTGTGAGTCTCTCGCCTGGAATATAAAAATGTCAATATAGTATGGGTCAACTTATGGGTCAAATGACTGAATGACTTCTCATAAAAATTGATTACAGACACATGGTTAGATTATACTCCTCCTTTGCCCAGCATTAATGCACATGGTCAGGTGTCACGCGCAAATGATAAAAAAGAATGATGCATCAAATAATGAGTTTGAGTATTACGCGTTCCAGATTGGAAGACATATATATTGGATGCAGACAGGGGCATGATGCAAGACTAAGTAATATTGTTGTTGTACAGATTGTTGTACCATAAATATCAGCCAATGCACTATATCAAATACGTATTATGTGCAATCTGAATAACATGTAAGTGTATATATTTTCCAGAGATACCATAACGTGTCATCATCATTAGAAGCTAAACATATGAATTGATTAAACATACAAGTATATGCATCGCATCTGACACCATGTTTAACAGACAACAGAGCATGACAATCAAGTCTGTATTTCAAACTTAGCACATATGTGTATGTGTGGAACGAAATTAATACATAATATTGTTACAGCACGTAGTTGTCTTGCTTACCTAAGGACGTTAGTACGTGTCTCATTTCAGCTGATGAGATAAAACCTTGTCCTTCTCTGTCGAAAGTTTTGAATGCTTCCATGAAGTCTGCATAGGTTCCTGTGTCTTTTTCTTTTGAGGCGGCGTGGTAAACTGGCAGGAACTCTTCGAATTTGTACTGTTTCTCACCTGCAGGGAATATTGCATGTATTGTATTTGTAAGAAAACATATTTTACACTACTCTCGAAAAGTGTGGAAACTTCAAACTCCCATACAAAACCTTAGATTTATCCAGTACTAGGACTATATCTATACTCCTGGAACTTGATAACCTTAAATAACATAAGCTTTAATAACCGTCCAATGGGGAGGGAGATGTGTGTATGTGCGAGTACATATATTGTACAAGGAAGACTATATTAGTTACATTTCCGTGATTAATATATTGCATCATATACAATGCATCATTTAACCGAACGTTTTCTCACCTTCCTTTTTGGTTCCGCCATTTTTGATTACAATTTCATTGGTTGGGTTCATGCCGAGGCACCTGATCAGATCTGCACATTTGTAGGCGTCAATCATTCCATCACGACCATCCCAGAAATCAAACAGGTCGAAGACTTCCTTCACATCTGAAAATACACAAGCAAATACATTAGTCAATCATTCATTTTATATACCATAATGACATACTCAAAATCACAAAATTCCCAAACAGGCTCAAACGTTATTCCACTCCGACCACATTATGGTGGACCATGGTTAATTATGGATGCTGCATACGACGTATACCCTGGCATTGCATACTTTATTATCTATTCTACCAGGCCATTTCCCTTCTGGCGTCAGCATTAAACAAATAAATATATATACACTACAAATACAGGTTTACAACTTAAATTCATTTCAATCTCTGAATAACATTTAACCTTCTAATATTTACAAGGTAATAGGTGCAAAACATTTGTGTTAACATAACAATCTTAAATTGTCATTTTCTGATTGTAGCTTGCTGGATTGGCTTAGTTGGAAACTATTTATAAGTACGTCTTTACAGCTTTTACTGATTTATATAGAGGGAAGATATTTTGGCTATTCTAAGGTAATATATGGCCATTTTAGATAATCGCATAAGTTATATGCTACATGTACACATATCTACAGTACCTAACTACTCGTCTATATCCAACTATATTCAGGTTAGGCCTCGTAAATAATATTGCGTAACCAAGATGGGCGATGTATGTTAGGAACATTTGGCATACACGCCCTGTGGGCTATGCATAATAGCGGTTTTTATAGTTTAAACAAATTATACGAGACCAAATTCTATGCTGATTAAAGTTTCATATGACATGGTTTAATCTAACCTTTGTCAATAAGCAGGTTTTAAGTAGTAGAGCAACCTAGAAACACCAGATTTAACCCAATAAAGCAACGCTTCTAAGTCAAGAAATCATGGCCTTTTGGCATTAAACCTTCTAGAAACATACTGAAGTTGCAAAACAGAGATATAAGAGTATCAAAATAGAAGTACCTACACTCCGCTCAATAAGAATAACACGTAAGCCTATGGGGAAAAGGGTTACCAAGCTTATGAAGAAGAGTGTATGTTAACGTATATCTCCCAGCCGTGACCTGGTTTGATCAAGGTAATATTTCAATTAGTCTAGCATCAAATCCTTTTGCAATTTGCCATTAGGGGATGGTCTCAACCAGAAGCACGATGAAATGCTGTAACTTTTAAAGGTAAAAGTAGTAGTGCTTGTTTCCATCAAATCCCTGGACACCTAGCCATCCCGTATACTTCCCCTGTGTCTAGGGGGAGGGTTTGAATCAAGCATTAGATATATGTTGCCAACTTTGAGTTGACCTAAAATAGTGTACGTTAGAAATAACTACGAAGACACCAGACCAGGCCATGTTGTATATTTTTACACGTATCTAAGTGCTACGCTTGTGCCAAATATGGAAGCCGCTTCTCGGAAATTTAGTGCTCATATACGTTATTTTTGGATGTGGTTTGCTTGCAAGTATGTAACTTAGACTTAGTCTTATTTACAGGTTTCTCTGTGTTGATGTAGAGCTTTCTACATGTAGAGCCTCTGAAGAAGACGAGTATAGCTACATGGTTTTCCGCAGTTAAGATAGATGTAATCATGTTACATGGATGTGTATATTCCATGCGATAACATCTTCATCATTGACAAAAATAGACACTTGGCATGTAAAACAGACATGTATCCGAGCAAGTACTCTATCAGAACAACAACCATGTCTCGTTTTATTATTTATTTACTATACCATTATCCATATCTTGGGGACAAAAAACTGTATGTATATCTCTATACTAGAAGGTTATCACATACATAAAGAAGGGAATGGAATTATAAAAAGGATACATTATCGGTATTATTGATAACATTATGTAATTGAAGAAGAAAATGTATATAAGTCAGGTTCACTCTGCCTATGTAAAAATTGAACACACGCATATCAAACGTAAAATCCAATGACTTAAATTATAATTTGACCCTTGCAAAATCCTATATTAATTACAGAAGCATGTCGTGCCATAAACTGACCAATTATGCACATGCGTCCAAATTAACGTATATGCCCAAATCACCACGTATTCTGGTGTGATGAGAGAATTAACTGATAATATCAAAGTGGATGTTTGGAATGAAAAGATTTTATCATCATAAGTTCATTTTTTGCACGAAACAACGATTAATAATTGCTTTTTTTATTTATTTTGGGCAGGTGAAATAATGTAGAAAGTTTTAGTCACCAGACGTTTTTCTTTAACGGGGGCAATCTTGAAAATATGAGGGGACTATGATAACCAAGAGTATAATAATGCTGATTGATCAAAGTATCTATTTATGTTGTAAAGAAATCAGAATGGCTTAGAGCAAAACAATTAGGTTTCCAAACGCTGAAAGCAATTCATGTAACCCCGGCCAGGTCATGTAAGTCCTAAGTCAATGAATCAAGGGTGGTTAGATATGCATAGGGTCCATGTTAACATGCTCATGTTTACAGAAGTATTTTATATAGTACTATAAAGCTTATTTCGGGCTCTTTGTAAATAATACGAGGTCTGAAGTTAAATAGCTCTTTTAGTCGTTCTTTAACACATAATTGTATGCCGGTTATTGGTAATATAGATTCACAAAGTATTGAAGATTGAAGTACTGAAGATTGATTTTTAAACCTAGAGTTAAAATCGTTCGGTTTCATATTGATATGAATTATAATGTAAGATGTCAGTTCCCAAAACTGTATTGTAAAAACTTCGTTTCTCTTTTTAAATGTTTTGACATGCAACTTGACTGTAATAGTTTAACAGTAAGCATTGTTCAGCCAAAACAAAGGATTATAATTAGAAGAGTTCAGTTCATGCTAATGAGGGTACGCATTTGCAAATGGCATTGTTGCATGAGCATTTTGTTTGTTTTTTGGCATGGCTCTTCAAAGCGAAACATTACAATATTCATGGCATAATACACCGGGGCTGTAGTTCATAAAATTGAATTGAGTCGGTCTTTAACTTTTCAATTCTGCTGGGTTGAGCATGTTCAATTTTCATAGAACCCTAAAATTCTTCAATTCTTTCTTAACTATTCTCGAGAGAGTAAAAAACCCAGACGTATCGATGGCGTATTACGATGACGTCAGAGGGAAAGATGCGGTTAACTGTAAAACGCATACCTCTTATGTTTGATAGGGAAGAAATAAAACATAATCTATATCAAACTAATTTGGCACATTCCTCCCTTTTCCCCAGGGGCCAGTTTCTAAGGTACAGTTACACAACTAGTAACACGTTACCAAGGGAACCAAATGTAATACATGCTATATTGACAGATTGGATTCCGTCTCCACCTTTTCGTTTCAAAATATTTATATTTCCAATAAACTCCAATTTTTGTTGTTGTATCCCTTGTAGATTTTTGATATAACTAAACATAATTGTTGATAGTCTCTGATTGGTTGTTCCCAACTCAAACATGATCGCTCCTTTTTAGAGGAAAATGTACTGACTATTGAGCTAAGGGTAAGTGGAATATTTCACATAGATGGAAGAGTAGGTAATAGTTATATTATGAGCAGTCTTATCTACGATCCCATTGAAAGAAAGCCGTCAGTAGTTAGATTTCAAGGGGAATTGGATCACTCTTCTGTTGCATGGCTAAGGTAGTTCACCTTCGGTGCATTTTTTGCTTATGCTGAGGATGTTTTACTCAACACCATCATTTCCGTTACTATGGTAACAATACCATGGTAACAGATAAAACGCCAGTGGTTAAAACCACACGATGCATTCATGCTGCTTGGATAGCTAAGGTAAGGAAATCACACTTGAAAATGAGTTCATGAATGATCCCCACTGTACGTTCTCGCTTACCAGTTTGATTTTCAATTACTTTATACCTTGGTAATGCAAGATGCGATACAGATTGGTGTATGAGAGCATAATCTCAGTGACACTAAGCCTATTTCACACAACACCTATCACGGCTGGATCCTGTCACTTAAGGATGTTCCCTGGACGAAGTTGAAAACGATGAACACCAACCCCTAATTTTTCTTTTCAAAATGTGAAGTACATAGCATAACTAAGTGTTTCTGTGAGTTTAAGAAAAAGTTAAATATTCAAAAGTGTGTTTTGGGGTGAAAACCTGATTTTTAACATGGGTTTCAATGAGAAAGTGCCACGCCCACTTTTGTCAAATATTGACACTTTAGAGGCCTCTTGCTCAGAAAAAAGCACACTAACATATGGTTTTTAAAGTTTTAATATTCTTTGTTGCCCGTGAGAATCCCAGAAAACCATTTTTGAGAAAAAGTTAAATACTATTGAATATTTTCCTATCTGACCAGGGAACATCCTTAACTATCTTTCTCATCTGAATCCGAATGGAGCCTTTGGTGCATCCTAACCTATTTCCTAATTTGATCTAATATTAAGAAGGACATTAAGGCTGATGCTAATACCCTTTCCCCCGAAATAAACCGAGTAGGTCTTTACATTTTTGGAAATATTAACTTTCGTACGCAAGATATAATTCTTTAGTCATTTCAAATGGAAACAGAACAGAATTTGCCATTGCAGTCCGTTATATTACACAAGACAGAAGATATTAGAATTTCACCTACTTATAACCGATGCGCCATATATCGGGTGTCCCCAAAAAAATGAGACACTTTTTGCCAAGTATTTTCTCGGCAACTAATAAACCAAATTCACTGAGAATTTGTACAAATTAGCCTGAGAGTATCATTAGCAAGTTGTAAAAATATAAAACAAATCAAGTAAATATTCTCCGAGTAATAAGAGATTCAAAATAGCATGTCAAATATCCCCATACCGGAGCTCTGCGATGAGACCTCTACAGTGTTTCTACCAGCTATCAGGTGATAGCATTTGTAAATAAGTCAAAATAGCTTGTCTGTGTGTCATGTCTACTTAATTCATTTCATTCTTCCCAAATATCCAAAATCCATTCATTCTCAAAATTCATTTGAGGTGATATTGCTAAGAATAAATACGGAAAGGTATTTTACATGAAAAGGATTAATAAGTGAGATTTACATCGATATTGGTTATTTTTGCATACTGTTT